AGTCCAAGTACCTAGCCGGACTTGGAATCGCTCGCCAGCGCCAGGCGATCGTCGACGGGCTTAGAGACAGCGTCCTCGGATTCTCTGTCAATGTGCCGGGGACGACGGCCAAGGACGTGATGGACATGGTCTTGGTCACCCAGTACTTCGACACCATGAAGGAGATCGGCGCCGCTTCCAAGTCCTCCGCCGTATTCATCCCCCACGGTCCCGGGGCCGTCCACGACGTCGCTACCCAGATCCGCAACGGTCTCCTCCAAGCTTCTGTGAATCAGTAGAATTTTCTTGGCCACAGACGGCGGAGCCTCCGTGGAAGCTGACGCGCGTCCAATGTGTTAATAAGCAGTAGATAGTGACCGCTCGAGCCTACGTAGGTCCTTTCTACGTCGTTAATCTCCCCCGCTATTTACAATGGTTTTCGTTGTTCTTCAAAGAAGTGAGCTTTCAAAAGGATCTCTCTCTCTCTCTCTCTCTCTCTCTCTCTCTCCTTGAGATAAACTACGAGGAATCGTTGACATTAGTCCAAGGGGTTATATCGTAAAAAAATATTTTAAAAATTATTAATGTAATTTTATATCGTATTTGCTAAGTATGGGGCTCCATTTCTATAATTTTTAATTAGTCCGTCAGAAAGTCCCCCTGGAACGGCGACCCGCGTGCGAAGCCGGGCCACTGCTGTCGAACTGGCGGCTGTCTATTTATAGTCTCAGTCTTTCTTAAGTTCTTACTAAAGCGGCCTGTTATCGTGGATCCCATCTCTCTCTCTCTCTCTCTCTCTCACACACACACACACACACACACACGCACACACACACACGCACACACACACACGCACGCACACACACACACACACACACACATACGCACGCACACGCACACACAAACACACACACTTAGACCAAATGGAAGATGAGAAGGTCTCTGTAGATAAGGGCGCAGAAGAAGATGGGAAAGAAGGCGAAGGACAAGGAAGGCGACAGTAAGGAAAAGAAGACTGACGCAGGCGCCCTGAAGCTTGAGGCCAAGAAAATCAAATATGCAAGTTAAAAAGAGTATTTAGAGGTTGAAGCAAGTACCAAGGTAATGGGACAAGAACATTGATAGTTTCATGACTACAAATGACTTCAAAAGATGTCAAATGAATGCATTTTTTTATTTGAAGAAGCTTGATATTTGTTATATTTATGTTGATTGCAAGAGCTGACATGTAAGAAACCAATAATTTAGAGTAGTGAGGAAAAATAATTTGTGCTAAAAGATTTAAGAGCAGAAAAGGAAATTATCAGGAGGATTATCACATGATAAACTTGTTTATTTCTTTAAATTATATCAAGAAAAGTAAGTTAGAAAAGTACATTGTAGGTTCAACATGGAGGTTGGAAGTTCTGTGAACATATTTGTAGTGAATCACTTCATACTTTTAATTGATTAAGTACAAAATACGGTAAATGAACAACAATATATGGACGAGATTCAATATGCAACTACTATTGATAGCCTCATGTATAATATAGTCTGCACTACAAAGTGTTGTGGTATATTTATACCTTTGAGTTTTATTGTTGTGAGTTAATGTTTCGAATTGAAGAAGATTGTTTCTCTCTCTATAACTAAAAGAGATTATGTTAATATGACTACGGCAAGAAAATGTATGGTTGAAGAATTTCATTACTAACTTGACAGGAAGTAAGAAAACAGTGTTGTTTTGTAATAATTAAAATGTCATAAACCTAGCTAAGAAAATCTGATGTTTTACTCTAAGACAACACATCCAGTTGATGTATCATTTTTGTCTACAACTTGTTGAAGGATAAAATATTGATACATGAAAATGTTAGCAAATTGAATAATCCAGTACACGTTGATTAATGCAGTCGTCATAGAGAAATTAAGACTATGTACGGCCTCAATAGAATCTTTAGAGTTAGCTGATCGGGGACATTGCACAAGTTCAAGAACAACTTTATTTTTCCTTGAAGATCAATCTCTAAGTAAGAGATTGTTAAAGTTCTGGAGAATAAGTTATTGAACCTTAATATGCTCTGATGAGTTCTTCTGCGAGTACGCTGGCCCAACTTTGGGACGTGTCCTTTGTCCCTAGGTAATTTTCCTTAACCTTGTGAGAAGAGGGGGAGAAACCATGTCTCTGTTAAGGCATATGCGCATGTATGATGCCATGGAAGAGTTGTAAGATGATATTCTCACTCTCGAACAAAGAAGATCTCGGTGCGAGCATACACGTAGGTTCATTCTCTGAACCATATTAAATTTAGTGTGTTCTTTCTATTCTCGCTGTCTATTCCTCTTATCTCTCTCGTGTATTTTGTATCAGTCTTGTGCTATGAAAGAAGGGAAGTGAGAACGCTTATCTTCCCCTAATATGATTAATTTAGCACTCCCCCAATCACTATATAGAAATACTCCAACACTCTACCTTTGTCATATATTCCGTATATCACACTAAATAGATAATGTATTCATGAAATACGATTAACTTTCAAGATACCTTGATGGTGAAATTGTTGACATGCTAAACTCAAAATCTCGCGTTAAAGAGCGTGGAGGTTCAAGTCATCTTCAATGCATAATATTGAAAGTGCTTATTGAATGAGCAGTTCAATAATAGATCTTGGATCTAACTGATATTGATATGCCAAGTATCTGTGTTGGTACGACACAATCCACTACAAAATCTTGGTGCCTCCACGAATTAGGGATGATCATTCTCTACTCATCCCAATAGTATGGCGTCAACGGCAGCTGGCTTCCGATCATCGTTAGCCAGGAAAACCGCTACAGTCTCCCAGACAACATCAATGCCAAGCAGGTGGGCTTCCACTGGGGCCTTCTCCTCCCATTGCTTGTTGGTTTACAGACGGATGATCGGATGAACTTCCCTAAATAGTGATGACGGCAATTGGGTAGTTGATGTATAGTGGCTTCTTCGTCCACTAGGGCCCACCTCAGCCCCAGTTGGGGTTCTCGAACAAGGGTGTGATTAAGGCCAAGTTGGGTATGATAATCGCCCCAGTTCGCAATGAGGCTGATCCGCTAATTAGGCATGCTCACCTGCAGGGTCAGTGTCCCTTGCTAACAACGGAGGACTTTCCGTTGGGGACTTTCATGAATACCCTGATATGATGATGATGATGAGAAGGATTCATTGATCCAGTATTTGCCATTAAATTTTCACATTCTTCTTATAATCTAGACTGGGTCCGACTGATCCAATTGAATGATTAACGATAATCATTATGCATGAAGGAGTTCAAGTTAGGTTTTCTTTATCCAAATATAGATCGCCATTTTCTTGATTAAATTAGAAATTAAGATAGACCTGAGACTCATAATAGGCTGGGTCACTACTTTTGGTTGAGTCTTATCGAAAAGTCAACTACCTGTTCTCTCCAGCCTCTTGGCCATTCTATACGAGCCCGCCCAACCGAATATTTCGGGAAACAATGTCCATTTAACGTTGACAAGTCTTCCCGCGTCGAATGAATGTCAAGAACGTGACATGTACTGGACGTCTGTATCACGTTTGAGAATGCGAAGGGCTCCATAATTTTATCCGACAGCAATCGCCGCCTGTATCCCCAGAATTAGTTTCAGAGGCAGGTAAGAAGAGCAGGAAGCTTCCGAGGTCGCCCGTAACCCTTTCAAAGTCTTGAGACCTTGAGGTGCTTCCTCGTCTCTTCATCCTTTTAGATATCTTCTTCTCTTGAACCACACTCCCCTCCCCCCTTTTCCGCCCACCTTCTCTGTCTCTCTCTGTCTCTCTCTCATCTGCTCCATCGTTCTTCTTACACTTCTCTTTGATGTCTCTGTTGCATCTATTAAATCTATCTTATCGTGTTTGAACGCTCTTCACGGTGACCTCTTCATGCCAAGAGGGTTTGGGAAATGGGGCCTGGCCTCGCTGACTTTTGCTTTCTCGATTGCGTGCGGGATCGGAAACAGGGAATTACGCGGCAAGCTGTCCAGTCTCCACGCGGTGGGGTCATGGCCTCTTTCTTTATGTCATAGATTTCGCTGGAGATTGGAATCCGCGGGTTGGCATCTGTCAAATGGAAGTCAACGTCGCCGAGTCGACATGTGAAAGCGAACATACCCCTTTTTATTGGGTATAGCTTCTTTGAGTCGAGGGGTTGGCTTCCTATGCTTTCTGTTTTATGAGAAAACCGATCTCGCCGATCTGGAGCTGTTCATAAATGACGTAATCCAGTAACTTGCCCTCGACCTTGTTGGTGCCGATGTTGTCCTGATCCATTCACCTCTGAGTTTCTTGTTTTCTTTAATCTGCGCCCTGCTGGGTCCCAGTGTATATAAATGCTGCCATCTTCCTCTTATATCTCCACTCCTTCGGTTCCTTTGCCTTCCCCTTGCAACCATATCTTTGTTTCCTTCTCCCAGCTTGGATTTGCAGGGCAGCCAAGGCGGTAAGTTCCTCATATTCATGGGTCCTTTTTGTCTCTAATTCCGGTACGAGAAAAATGATCACGCTAAAGAATGAAATTATGATGGGGGTTCAATATTATATCCTCATCGTTAGAATCAAATGTTTGGTTTTCTACCAGATTTTCAGCCCTCTCCTGGGATTTAAGTCCGGCTGAAGCTTCCTCTTATCTTCAGTCATCCGCATAAACTGCTTATCAGTGACCACTTTCGTCGGTTCCACATGTTCCTGGTCATAACAAAGCTCATCCACCGTGGGAGACGTGGGTTCACTTTTCCCAAGCCAGAGTTGAATTTTTCGGTTGGTCCCAGGCTTCATATGGCTCATCCTGGGCTTGAATCCATCTCATAGGGACTCCTATTCAGAACTTCAGGTTGGCGAACTATATTCCTTAGGAAACACTTTTCTTTAATCAGCTTCTGTCGCAGACTAAGTCACGGATTTTCATCACTCCGCGCGTCGATCTCTGCGACATTTGATAAAATAGCTTATCTTTTTACCGTCTGCTCGCTAGTTTTGACGCAATTTTGTTTCCAGATTAGCCATGGGAAACCTGTTATGCTGTGTAAAAGTTGACCAGTCCACTGTGGCTATTAAGGAAAGATTCGGAAAGTTCGATGATGTTCTCCAGCCAGGTTGCCACTGCCTACCCTGGTTTCTCGGCAGCCAGATCGCTGGTCGCCTCACTCTCCGGTTGCAGCAGCTGGATGTGAAATGCGAGACAAAAACTAAGGTTGGTCTCCTCTTCCTACGTTCATACGGGATATACTACACGAATACCCCTCCAGAATTCTCTCCAGCGAACCTCCACCCATTCCTTGCATCCAGTTAAGATCACCAATATGATCCCTGGGAAGATCAGCTCCTCCACATTTTTCAGCCCAAGATGAGAAATATCAACCCCTCTTTCTACGTTGACAAGGGATAGATTAGACGGTTAGTTATCAGTATTCTCCTGGAATCATGCATCCACATCTAATCGGCAGTCGTGAAGGTCCATGTGATCTCTGGGAAGATCAAAACCCTCGGACTTTGTTCGTCCATGATGGGCAGTCGTTGATGGCGGAGTTGTTGCAGGACAATGTGTTCGTCAATGTGGTCGCGTCCATACAATACCGCGCTCTGAGTGAGAAGGCAGGAGACGCGTTCTACAAATTGAGCAACACGAGAAACCAAATCCAAGCTTATGTTTTTGACGGTGAGTGCTCTTTGAGTAGATCCTTCAACAGTTGATTACCAGGTAGACATGACTACATTTCCGTGTGGGTGATGGGCGAGAAAAAAACTTGTCCGTTTTCTTCTCCTGCCAGTTATCAGGGCAAGCGTTCCGAAGCTTAATCTGGACGACGCATTCGAGCAGAAGAACGACATTGCCAGGGCCGTGGAGGATGAACTGGAGAAGGCCATGTCGAACTACGGGTTTGAGATTGTGCAGACGCTCATCGTCGATATAGAGCCAGATGAGCACGTGAAGCGAGCCATGAACGAAATCAATGCTGGTAGTGTGCTCCTCCCCATCCGGTGTTGAATTTATCTCATTTTGCCCTTTAATTTTAATAAAATCTTATCGGGATATCTTTAACATTATTGCTCAGAAGTTCTTTTTTAAATATCATTAACTTTTATTTTCCTTATTTTCTATTTCCACATCTAATTCTCAACGTATTTGCTCGGTCTTTTTTGTCTTTTGAGATCATTTAGCTTTGGGGCATCATTCTTTCGTAGGATTTTTTTCTGTAGGAAAATATCATCAATTTTTTGAAAATATTATGCGATTATTACAACCCCCCCCCCCCCCCTTCTTCCTCGCTCAGCTCTTAGGCTCAGGATGGCTGCAAGCGAGAAGGCAGAGGCGGAGAAGATCCTGCAGATTAAACGGGCGGAGGGGGAGGCCGAGTCCAAGTACCTGGCCGGACTTGGAATCGCTCGCCAGCGCCAGGCGATCGTCGACGGGCTCAGAGACAGCGTCCTCGGATTCTCTGTCAACGTGCCGGGGACGACGGCCAAGGACGTGATGGACATGGTCTTGGTCACCCAGTACTTCGACACCATGAAGGAGATCGGCGCCTCTTCCAAGTCCTCCGCCGTATTCATCCCCCACGGTCCCGGGGCCGTCCAGGACGTCGCCACCCAGATCCGCAACGGTCTCCTCCAAGCCTCCGTGAATCACTAGATTTTCCCCAGCCACCGACGGGGAAGCAGGTTTGCGTCGAATCTGTGTATATGAATGGATGTCTGAATAAGGAAAGCAGTAGATGGTGACTGTTGGAGCCTGCGTCGGTCCTGTACAGTGGTTTTCGTTGTTCTGCAAAGAAGTGTGCTCTCTCTCTCTCTCTCTCTCTCTCTCTCTCTCTCGCTTGAGCGTGTGAAGCTACCCTTGAACGGCGACCCGTGAGCGAAGGCGGCCCAGTCCTGCCGAACTGGCGGCCGTCTATTTATAGTCTCAGTCTCTCTATAAGTTCTTCCTGAAACGGCCTGCAATCCTCGATCCCATCTCTCTCTCTCTCTCGCCCAGACCAAATGGAAGATGAGAAGGTCACCGTAGATAGGCCGGAGAAGAAGAAGGAGAAGAAGGCGAAGGACAAGAAAGCCAACGGCGAGGAAAAGACGAAGGACGCAGGCGCCCTGAAGCTGAAGCTGGAGAAGCTCGAGGCCAAGATGATGGCCCTCGCGGTGAAGAAGGAGGCCATCCAGAAGCTTCTCCTGGCGGCGGAGGGTAGCGCCGCCGGCTCCGGCCAGGAGCAGGCGGCGCCGCCCGCCTGAAAAATAGGGACGAATGCTGGACGGCCGGGTTATCCGAGTTACTCAACTCGGCGTTCGTTGGATCGTTGACGGACGAACATAACTCAGTACCGAGTTTCTCCTTACCTGTACACCTGAGGTTTTTGACTGAAAGAGCCATGAAGGAATTCTCCAATGGATGATCACCACGTATCAGCCGGTTGTAACTACCTTGGTAGGCTGTATTGGGCCATTTTCACGTCCCAATACAGGAATCACCGTATTATTCGTCGACAGGCGTCAGAAAGTTATTAAAAATTACAAATTCCCCCTATTATAAAGTACATAAATAAATAGATGAACAGAAAGTCCTATATTAAATTTTGTCCATGAGAGGGCCAAGAGTAAATGATGTGGGCCCCATTTGAACCAATCATCTCTCCTATAAATGGGAAAATAATAATGAATTGAGAGGTGACAACGGCTCTGCGACCATGCCTATGAATAGCTCATGGCTCCGCCACGTGGGATGATGGCGCCACCAGGGGTGGTGCGTCTCAGTCTCCGAGCGTGATCCGCTTCCTCCGGTGACGCATCGCCGCCTCTTGGCTAATCGGGAGGCTCTGCTCGTCTTCTGTCGACCTTATCAGTCCCTGCGGATTCATCGCCGACCTTCGCGTCTCCCAGGTGAGATGCCTTCTCTCCAGGCTCGAATTATTCGAAGAAGCGGCTTGAGCATTTTGTTTTAGTGACCCGCAGATAGTTTTTCCCATGTCTCGCTGTTCATCTTGGCCCCTCACAGAGTTTGCGCGGGATCGAGAAAGTTGAAGTTCATCGTCGCGGATCCTTACGGCTCCTCTGTTCTATCGACTACTCTTCTGAATTATGGGATAGTATCATGGAAAATTCGGAGTTCAGGGTTTAACCTACGTCGTCCGGGATTGGGGTTGATGAATTTGAGGTTCTAACCGTTTTATTTATGTTGATTCCGGTTAATTTAGGCGTATCGTGGGTTCTTTGTCGAAGAATAGTCTCCTTGATGCCGCACCTGCCATCATTAGTTGTTTCTGTCGTTTTTCAGCACCTGATCCGTAATCTAGAACAGATTTTAGATATTCATCCAATTAATTCCTCATGTGTGTCATATACGCTTCTACATCTTGTTACGTGAAAAGATGGAAAAACATGGTGGTACGTAAGTTTTGGTCGATTTACCTGCAGCCCAGAAAGTTTTGGTGCTTATGGTCTTACGTAGGATCTATAAAAGAAATTTGGGCATGGATGATGCGCTCACATCTTCTATAATCAGCTTTTCAGAGTGATCCTCTTCATGCACTTTTAACGCGTTATTTGGCACGTTTTGAATCACAAATTTCACCCCTGAAAAAGTCTCTTGCAACAGTTGTTTCCCTGCGTATTGCGAGAAGGAAAATAAATGTTACTTAGTTTCCTAAACCATGCTGTGAAGATTCGTTCATCTGCTTCGTATTCCCTGGCCTTTCGCATTCTGAATTCCCTGGGCACAGAAAAGTCAACATCCGAATTCTGAATTAATTTGTCTTTCTTTTCTTAATTTTTCTTCGGGTAAAGATCAGTGGGTTTTGATTTTCATAATTTTGTAATATAAGCTACTCGTTTTCATCTGCTTCAAAATATCGGCATACTTGCGACAAAGGTATCTGACACTATGCATAATTTTGAATATTCTCTTTATGCAGAGGTAAAACAAATGGGCCAGGCTCTTTGCTGCATACAGGTAGATCAATCAAATGTCGCCATCAAAGAAAAATTTGGCAAGTTCAGTGAAGTCCTGGAGCCCGGATGCCACTGCATGCCATGGGTTCTGGGGAGTGAGGTGGCTGGGCATATCTCCCTGCGTGTACAACAGCTCGATGTTCGCTGTGAAACAAAAACTAAGGTGCGCTTGATCCTGTACCAGTGGATGTCATCATTATATTTTCATGATTAAGGCATTTTATGTGCAAATAATTTTCTAGAGCTCTTAAGACAATGTTTTATGGACATCGCCCGCCAGTTAATTTTACAGTAGAGGAATATCAGATTCATTCCTAAAGGAACTTTAAACATTAAAAAATGACAGTACCATTAATCATTAACACGTGCAAATAGTTTAATCATAATCCCCGTTGACTAGAAGAAATCAGTTTCGGAAGCAGCTGGATTTTGTTCCGGAAGGAAAATCTATTTCTATTGAACAAGAATAAATAACACTTTCTTGTTATGACTTGTGAACCTTGAAATGATTTCTTGGGGCTTGATGAAGAGCGCCATGTTAAGCATGATATGGGTTTACTAAGGAGGCAGGTATTATTTTATACACTCTGCCACATGTACCACTCCTAGTTATATGAAGAGAACACCCACCCAACCACACTTGCAGAAGAAATTTTTTAAAGCGGGTACCATCTGTTCTAGTCATCCGAAATTTCGCACATGTTTATAACTGCTAGTTAGAACATCGGCAGAATACTTTTTAGTTAACAACAAGTAAAAATAGCAATGTACACGCTGTTTGAACAGTTCCGTTCGATTTTACACTTACCCATCTGATGTTCTTCTATGTTCTACTCTGGACGCTCAGGATAATGTGTTCGTCACCGTTGTTGCATCAGTGCAATATCGTGCAATTGGAGAGAAGGCCGTCGATGCATTTTACAAGCTGAGCGACACCAGCGAGCAGATTCAGTCCTATGTTTTTGATGGTAAGCTCTCTGGCCGCTTATAGTTCTTCGTTAGATGAATTCTTCCCAATCTCTCAGAAACAATCCTTGTTTTATTTTTGCATGGTTTTTGTTTGCTGAATCTCATCTTGCATTCCTCACAGCACAAAAAATCTTACCGCCAGAGGAACTATAAAGCTTACCATGCCTTACTCCTCTCTCTCTCTCTCTCTCTCTCTCTCTCTCTAAAAGTAATCAGGGCAAGCGTGCCAAAACTGAACTTAGACGACGTCTTTGAGCAGAAGAACGGCGTAGCCAAAGCTGTCGAAGAAGAGCTTGAAAAGGTGTTATATCCCACTTACCCGGCGATCACATCTCTGGTTCAGTCCGCTCAGCTCACCATGAAACGCACTATCTCACTCACTGCGGCTGCTCATCTGCTTTCTCGCAGTCCATGTCAGGCTATGGCTACGAGATTGTCCAGACTCTCATCGTGGATATCGAGCCAGACACTCAAGTCAAGAGGGCTATGAACGAGATAAATGCAGGCAAGTCAACCGAACTTGCCCATACTAACTGGTCACATATCATTGCTTTCGGCAGATTGCCTGAAATTAATCTCGTTCACAAGTCCTACCCGTTTTTCATGAAGATTACCAATTTCTTTCCATACATAGCTTGCGCCAAACATTTCTATTCGTTCTTTGGCATCAGATTAACTTATCAAAAGTCAACGTCTTCAGCCTCGAGGATGAGGGTGGCGGCCAACGAGAAGGCGGAGGCGGAGAAGATCCTGCAGATCAAGAGAGCCGAGGGGGAGGCAGAATCCAAGTACCTGGCCGGGCTGGGCGTGGCCCGGCAGCGGCAGGCCATCGTGGACGGCCTCAGAGACAGCGTCCTCGCCTTCTCCTCCAGCGTCCCCGGCACCACCGCCAAGGACGTGATGGACCTGGTCCTGGTCACGCAGTACTTCGACACCATGAAAGATGTCGGCGCAGCCACCAAGTCCTCCGCCGTCTTCATCCCCCACGGCCCCGGAGCCGTCCACGACGTCGCCACCCAGATCAGAGGCGGCCTCCTCCAACGTCCCCAATGAAAAACTCATCGACAATAGAGAGAGAGAGAGGGAGAGATATGTCCATAGTGGGGACAGAGAAAGAAGAGAAAAGAGAAGAACAGATAAAGGGTGCTTGCTTACTTGAAATGAAGCGAGACGAGAGAGAGAGAGAGAGAGTCATATATATATTTATACGCAGAGAGAGGAGTGAGAGTGCGAGAGATGCCGAGATCAGAATGTTTGCTGGGAACTGGGGGAGGAGAGGCTCCTGATGGGGTGCTGCCGGGGGAGGGAGGTCTGGGTCTTCAAGCCGGGCCTGGGGAAGGACTGCGGCCGGAGAGTGGGGGGCGGCGGCGCCGGCGGCTGAGGGGTGTGGAAGAAGTAGGAGGAGCTAGCCATGTCCTTGAGATTGACGAGGGGTTTCAACGCCTCGACGACCTCGCTCATCAGGGGCCTGGCCTTGGGGTCCCGGCTCAGGCAGAGATGGGCCAGCTGCGCCGCCTTCTGGGCGCCCTTGAGGGAGAAGTTGCCTTCCAGGCGAGGGTCAACAAGGCGGTAAAAGCGCCGCCGCTCGCCGAGGTAGGGCCGGGCCCACTCCACCAGGTTGTGCTCTCCGTTGGGCCGGTTCTTGTCCATGGACCTCCTCCCGGACAACATCTCCAAGAGGACCACCCCGAAGCTGTAGACGTCGCTCTTCGACGTCAGATGCCCTGAACGCACAGCACAGAGCAGCAGCAGAGAGACAAGAGAAGATGAACTTATCACAACTCAGACACATGTTGACATAACCAACTACGATCCTGTAACCCTATTCATCTCAATAACCCTTCCGTTCACACCATGCCGATCTCTGGGTCAACACTAAAATACTAAACAAATGTTGGGCAAAGCTTGGAATTGACTGAAAACATGAGAAAAATAGCAAGGTCAACGCAATCAAGAAGAAAAAAATTGGTGACAGTGAGAAGTGACATAGGGCCCGGCAAGCAAGCCACCGAGCTCAGATGAAAAGCCATGAATGAACAAAAGGGCACTCCATATGAGGAAAATGGGATGCTGGGGTGAAGCTTTCGCAGAGTAAAATGTAATAGAGTTCAGGGGGCTAAAGCAACACATGTCCTGAGAAGCTCTCTGGCACGTTGCCCCATATGATTATGAGTACTAATAAGTAATAATAATAATAATAATAATAATAGTAATAGTACTCATGGCTACCAGCATTTCGATTAATAACCAATTCCATAAAGCATCATATTATAAAAACTATAAGAGAAGATGAATCCATTGAACTCACCAGTCATGACATACTCTGGAGCTGCATAACCATATGTTCCCATGACTCGAGTAGAGACGTGAGTTTTGTCTCCTTCAGGGCCATCTTTAGCGAGCCCGAAATCAGAGAGTTTGGCATTGTAATCCTGGAAGCAAAATCACAGGGAAATAAATAGCTGAGGAGAGAAAATAGGAGACGGGGGAGAACTGGATATAAGTAGCTGAACTGCATACCGCGTCTAACAGGATGTTAGATGTCTTAAAATCACGATATATGACTAGCCTTTCGGCTTCCTCATGAAGAAATGAAAGCCCCTTGGCGGCACCAAGAGCAATTTTCATTCTAATAGACCACGGAAGAGGCAGGGATCCTTCTGTACATTACATGGCCAAAGCCAAAGGATGGTAAAACATCCGCATGTAAGAGAAATACACGCTAGGAGAACATCAATCTGAAGAAATATGAACTACTTCAACAACAATGTATAGATTCCAACATCAGTAAGAAATGCATATAAGAATCTTCTCCAAAGGACAGCTGTTGAAACGTGGGGCACTACAGACATGCACAAATCAGCATTAATAGATATCATGTAATCATACAAATAAAAGGATTCATGGCTCATAAATCTGGTTTCTATTTTATGAGTCATGCTGATTGTAAGGATGCTTCAAATTCGTTAGCATAAAAATCGAGCATCGCTCAGATAGTAAACTGAAAAACATTGACACATATCAGCGGCTCAAACTAAACCAAAGTACATGGTGAAAACCCCCTCGATTTAATTGTTACCGTTAAATAAAGCATGGCTGATGACATGTTGCTTTCAGAAATGATTAAGCAGACATAAGATCAGATCACGGAAGAAGGAACTAACTCAAAAAGTGAGCTAGAGTCCAAACCATTATAAAACTATCTACAAATTATTGCATCTCCCTTCAAGATTCTGCTCGCCCATCTCATCCAAAAAAATGTCATTCCAATCCATCACAATATTTTTCTCAATAAAATAAAAGTTCTTCAAATGAGCAAAATATTGAGTCACAAGTTAATCTGGACAGGCTCATATCATAACTGGGCAAGACCAAAGAAAAAAGAAAAACAACTAAAAAGCGATTAAATAACCAATAATATAAATAAAAAAGAGACGACATATTTTAGAGAACGAGAAAGAAGAAAGCGATGCCCTGAAACAGTCATCTCACTAGTTGGAAATTATAACGGAAATAGTTGCTGTGGCCAGCATAATAATGTTAACCAGACATAGAGACAGAGACGGATACTCTGAGCCATAAGGTTTATTAGATGACTAGAAGATATCATGAACAGCTGGCATGCCTACATGGGTAATGTTTCAGCCCGTTTAGTACCTCTGTATTCATCTAATACCACAGAAGGAAAAATAAGATATACCTTCTACTCATTGAAAGATTAGGACTATCATATAAAGCATACGAAAACCGATAAACTTTCTGATTCCTTACACCAGGAAAATAAGAGCGGTAAGAGAAGAAAGTCACATACTTCGGAACAAATGGTTTTCCAGGCTTCCTCGAGGCATGAACTCATAAACCAGCAATCTTTGATCATCCTCAATACAGTATCCAATCAGCTTAACAAGATTCGGGTGAAGAAGTTCACCAAGAAAATTGACTTCAGCCTGGAAAGAAAAATAAATTAAATAAATGTAAACAAAAATCCAAGAAATCTAGGCGCAACTCTCTTGAGATAAGAAATGGAAACAAAACATTTTCAACAAGGTTAAAAGAAATACCAGCCATTCTTTGTGTCCTTGCAGACCATCATGGTTAAGAGTTTTGACTGCAACAGTGAGCCCAGTACCAGGTTTCACAGCAGCAGTTCCATTCTCCTCAATCCATCCCTTGAAAACGCAGCCAAAACCCCCCTCACCAAGAAGACTCTCAGGTCGAAAATTTCTGGTGGCAGATTTCAGCTCATTGAAATTAAATTTCCGAAGCTGAGATGCAATTTTTAGATCTTCACCAGCTTTGGAGGTTGAAGAACTGCTTTCTGCATTACTCGTGGTTGTAGAGCCAGAAGCAACTTGAGCAGATGGGTGGTCTCTACTGCTCTCATTTGTTGACTTGCTCTCTGCTTAACACAGAAGGAAAAAAACATTCGTCTTAATTAATTTCTTGTGCTTTTTTTATGAATAGATAATATTCAAGGAAAACCACTTGATACTCTGAAAAAACTCCATAAATAATGTCTAGAGATCCAAGTATTGACCATGACTACATTTCCCTGTAAACAGCAATGCAAGAACATAAACCAGAAAAAAACTGTTCGTAGTACCTTGCATCTAGCATTATGATGAAAATTTAGATTAGCAAAAGTCACGCGTACAAACACAATATTGTGATTGTTCTATCTCTCGAGCACAACTCTTAAGCTTAAGACTCTAAAAAACAATAAGATAAAATCTTGAAATAGGAAGACAAAATAATGGTTCTGACTATGCAGATTGCTATATCATCATCACTTATTTATTTTAACCATGGTGAATTTTTTTAACAATATTAATATCCTGAATATCATTTTCATTATATGCAAATGATGAAATCAATCAAGTATTATTTAACGTTTAAGATTATTCAGTAAGAGACTCATTGAGATAGTACGACTCTACTGCGTGCTTCCCTTAAATGAATCTTCTTCCCATGGATAAGAAAAAGATTCCACCACAGTTAATGAAGGGACCACATTACTGCCCTCTTGAGAGGCCCATGCCATCAAAAAAAGTCTGCATGCGAAGGTTAAGAACTCTGAGCCCTGTACTAGATGAGGACAAGGAAAAGTTTAGACATTCAGGGAAACCCTGTGAACCACACTTTGCAATGTGCAGAATGGTGTTGCACAGTGCAGGCAAACTCAACCTTCCAGGTTGTAATTTCACTAACCGAGAATTAATATCCCCATCGATTGTTTAACAAAACTCAACATTTTCATAAGTTTGTGTAACATGCTCAGGTACTAGGCTCATGAAGAATTTCAAGGATGCAGACGACTTTAGACGGACTATCTGAGCCAAGCAAAACCAAAAGTAATCAGTCAAAACCTCCGGCATCAACGTCATAGCAAGTTCCTAACCGACATAATCACTTCAGCAATAAAATAATTGAGACATCAAAAAGTTATCTCCATCACAAAAGCACAAAAAAAATAGTACGCGGCATTCCTCAATACTATGGGCTATGAACAGTAAATCACCGCCAGAAAGAACAAAAGAATAAGTGATATATCCCAAAAAAATTACCATTAGTCGTGCTTATGGAGGTCTCAACTTTGGATTTCGGAAAAAGGCAGCAGTTCATCATGACATCGAACCTACAGCAGAAACGAGTTTCCTCGGCCATCTCGTCCTTTATCTTCTTCTTCCTCCACTCCTTCGTTTTCACTTCATTCGTCCACCCCTCAACCTGAACAACATCAGGGCCCAAGCCCATCGTCTGAAAACCCTAAAAATCAGAAAAAGAGAAACGTCACAACTCTCACCTCTTAAAACCACATACGAGGATAGTAGCAACCCCAGGAAAAAGGTAATAGATGACAGAGCATCATCCCATAGTACCAGTAAGGCTCGGTCAAAATCCCGCAGCGCCCCCAACCCCCCCACCCCTCCCAGCCACCAAGGGGGCCTCAAAAACGGAAAAGAACCTTCACGATGCAATCTACTCAAGCAGCTCGGAGGTTACAGCCTACAGCAGAGTTATCAACGGCGAGTCCATACACACCCTGATCAACAATTACACTTCCGCATGCTGTAGCGAACCCAGCCGATTCCCGAAGTAGAAGACACACCAAGCAGCATTCAAACCCCAAAACCCCCCACGAAAGAAGAAAAGACAACCCCCACCGAAACACCACCGCCCCCCCTCCCTACGGTACACTCAGGCCGAGTCCCGCCTCCCCCAGAAGAGAACTCCGAAGCCGCTGCGTGCGGGCCGCACCGTCATGGTCCAAGCGATCGAGGAGTTCTTCACCGAGCATCTGCCTGGCAGATGCCGGAGAAAGGGGAGGAGAGTATGGCCTGGAGAGGGGCTCTTGGAGTGAACACTTCGAACTGAGGAAGGTGGTAACAGGTTGTTGCAGGGGAGGATGGTGTGGGGAAAGGGCGGGCAGCTCGGGCAGGGCCTGTGAAGGTAGTCGGGGACAAAAGCGGGCAGAACGGGCAGAGAATAGGAATTTGGCAAAGATCGAGGATCTCTAATGCCATGCGCAGCGACACTCACGGGAACGGTACGCTCAAGAATGCTTTTGTGACACGCTAACGGCTCCTGTCTCGACATCGAACTTAAAGTGACTTTCGGGAGGGCCGTTGGGCCCCACCGCCCGTCAAAAGGGCCGTTAACTCGTAATTTCACGCGAATATTCTAGATTCCCGGTCCCCCCCATCCGACACGAGTCCCTTTCCCTCCAATCGAAAAATCAGCCCCCTCTCCCATTCTGTCCTCTCTCTCTCTCTCTCTCTCTATCTATTTCTTTCTATCTCTATCTCTCTCTATCCATCTCTATCGGCCTGATCTCCATGACAGTGATGAGGAAGGAAGCGAAACTTCGGCTTTCGCGTTCCCATGGTCTCTGGTGGTCACTGTCCTTCGGCGCCACCACGGTCCTCGTTTCTTCTGCCGGAATATTCGCTGCCGGCCTCCGGTGCAGGCACCGTCTCCTGCATCTCGAGGTGGACAGAGGTGTGGGAAGCAGATGATCATCTTCCAGCGGAATCCGGCCGGGTGCAGCAGGATGACTCAGTTTTGGTAAGGGAGGACGACCTACCGCTCTCGTTTCAACTCCTAGTTAAGAATAATCAATCTGTATTAATGGCGGGACCATCAGCCTGTGGCCGTAAGACTCATCTGACTGCTTCCAAGTAGCTTCGATCCTTATTATATTCCTCTTCCGGCATAGTTTCTTCCATGTCGCCGTCATCGCCGTCGCTGTCTCGGCTGCCGTGGAATCACCGCCGTGCCGCTCAGAAAAGTTGATGAAGATTAAGCAATCCTCGGATGTGATCAGGTATCTCGTCCATTTCCGCGGTCTGAGGTTATCGATTTAAAAATCGGAAGGGAAAGGGACGGGAGGATATGAACAAACTTACTGCCATTAACTATTTCATGAGCGCAGTCAGATCTCCCTCATCTTGCCTTCACCGGTTTTTTTCTTCGCCAATGCAATCCGTGTTGTCATGGCCACCATATTGGTTTGGATCAGAGGATCCATAGAACAATCATTCTTTTCACGAACAATCTCTCGTTGTACTTCTTTGATTCGGTCTATGCAATCTATCAGCTTCGAGACTCCATTGAATGAACAAATGCGACTTCGGATTGAAAATCTAAAACTGTATCAATATCAGCTTGATCCATCCTTCGTCAGCGTAGATGGTGAGGTATTTTAATACGATTTCTACAGCCAATTTACATTAATGACTGGTTGCATGTGCTCCGACTATTAGAACCAAGAAAGCCGGGCGGAGATAGTAACATGCATATCGCCTGATTCTCATCGCTCCAGATCTCACAGAGCGGAGGCGAATGAAATTGGAAGAATAAGCAGAAATGCGCTTCCATGATTCCTGCACCTCTCTACATTTCAATCACGATGCATTCATGCTTTCCATTAAACAACTGGAAGGAGAAAGCCTAATCGATTAAAGTACACAACGGGGCTATCTGTGGATCTACTACTCCCTATCAAGCTCTCTCGCCGCGGATCCGGCGGGCAAGCTGGATGTCCTTGGGCATGATAGTGACGCGCTTGGCGTGGATGGCGCAGAGGTTAGTGTCCTCGAATAGCCCGACGAGGTAGGCCTCCGCGGCCTCCTGCAACGCCGAGACGGCAGAGCTCTGGAACCGCAGATCCGTCTTGAAGTCCTGCGCGATCTCCCGAACCAGGCGCTGGAAGGGAAGCTTGCGTATCAAGAGCTCCGTGCTCTTCTGATACTTACGGATCTCCCTGAGCGCCACGGTCCCCGGCCGGAAACGGTGGGGCTTCTTCACGCCGCCTGTTGCGGGGGCCGACTTCCTCGCGGCCTTGGTGGCGAGCTGCTTCCTAGGTGCCTTGCCGCCGGTGGACTTCCTTGCCGTCTGCTTGGTTCGCGCCATCTTTGCAAAGCTGAGTATCGATCGGAGTACGTTGCAGCAACGGAGAAGACGAGAGAAGATGGATCAATGATCGATATCTAAGCGGATGGCGGGGTATTTGAAGGAGGACGATTTCGAGGACGCTCCAGAATTTTCGAAAATTTTGGCTGCGGAAGGCGGGAAAAGAATCTCCCATCGAACGGCTGAGATTTCTCCCCCAAGGAACACCGGGATAGCGATCCTCGTCATCTCTTACTGCTCTCTGATTCGTGGATTTGAAAAGTAGACGCAATCATGGAAGGGACACACGTCCGGCACACATATATATAATTTTTACACAAGTTTGGAGAAAAATAATATTTGACAAGGTACGTGGGCCAAATGAAGAATTCTTCTCATGGGCCCGGACACAAAAAAGCCCATTATAACTTGTATTGGGCTGGGCCGTGGGCTTCCGTAAAGTGGAAGATGGGCCGCCACGTGATCAGGCATCGTCCACTAAGGGATGGCGTGGGTGGACTTGCCCCCTCAGAGATCCAACTTTAACCCTCCAAACCCCACCGTCTTCCTCCTCCCGGCTCCAAGGTTTCAGCGGGGGCAATGGCGATGCAAGCTGGGATGGGTCTCTCGAAGGTCGTCATCTTGATTGGGGCAGGTAATCTTTTGGTGCTGTTTTGGCTCAAAAATTAATCATCGCCTTCTTACCGTCTGCCGCATCCAGTGATCCGTCTCGACTTCTTGCGTCTTCCGTCTGAGCGTGACTGATTCTGGATCTGTAGGTTATACCGGCTCGATCTTGTTGCGGAATGGCAAGCTGTCTGAAATTATCGGGGAACTGCAGGTCTGTCGCGACTCGACCGTAGTAGTTGGCTGTGGCCTTTCAGATTCTCTCGGATTTCTCTTGCGTTTGCTGAATGGGGCTCTTGTCCCTCAGCTTGATTATTTGTATTTCTTCTCTTACTGTAGACTCTGACCAAAGGATTGGAGAATTCCACGGACGCATCGCACAATGATCACGAGACATCCCTCCTCGCCAGTCAGGTAATTTCATTTTTCCTTTTTTCCCCCTTAATACTGACTTGAGTTCGTCGACTGGGCAGTATGTCCCGAGGATGCCACGTTTTATATCAACATGAATGGGCAACCGTCCCTTCCTGTTTCGGGACCTAGATAGGTGTAAATGCCATGTAAAAATTTCTTCATGATAGCAAAAATAAAATATATAGCTTGCACGAAATGTAGAATTTCAAGATGAAGTCCATGCTCACATCTATGCAAGATATTATAGAATCAGCAAAGTCCGATGAAGACAAGATTAGAGGAACAACTTGTGGATAGTTGAGAAATGTGACACCTAATCCAGTATTGAGACATGGAAAGGTTTCGGAGTTTACCATTTAACAAAATTTGATGATATGTGTGTTCAGAACCCCAAAAATATATGTCAACGGATTTGATGTGCGTGGTTAATATGACCGTGTTGACGGTTAGCTTAAACATTGGGAATGCCTCCAGAGTTCAATACAAACTTTGATTCGAATTCATATGCCTTTTGGATATCAGTAACAGCAGTAGGTCAGTTCTCTGAATTTCTGCAATTACTGTACTACGTGTACTACTCGTCTCATTTCTCACATGTCCATCAAGTTGAAACGATTCTTGTTAACTACGATACATTCCCTTGATCTTTTTAATAACTCTTTTCCATAGCTTATGTGAATTAGAGGTTTGATCTCTAGTACTGTACTTTAGCCGTCCTAATTGGTACGTTTTTCCCCTAAAGGATAAAAAAATTGTTTCTTCATTCAGTGTTGGCATTATTTGATCTTCATAACACTGAGACGTTGCTTCATTGTCTCACCAATCTCTGGCCTATTACTTCTTATTCGATTTCATGATCATTCTGGATATGTCATTGGATCAATGGGCACTATCCTTTCCTGCATTGCTTTATCAAAAACTGTGTTTGAGGAAAACTTAATTCTCCTAACCCCATCTAATATGTGTTTATTAAGCTCCTTTATGAGAAACTTTTTGTTTGAGAATGACGTCCTCTGTTGTTTCACAGCTGGATCGTTTAGCCAGAGAAGTTCAACGGATGTCTTCTTCACGTCCCATAACAGTTCTCAATGGATCTTCTCACCAAGGTCGCTTCTAGGAATATCTCGGGAATTTTAATGCTTGAAATACATCTTACTTCTTTGAAAAACAAATATGTGTGTACCTTTTGCCTCTCCGTTTTTGGAATTTTGATGTACTACATTCAAATACCAAGTGGATACTTTTACAATAAGTTATTTATATCTGTGCATGACATTTTTCTGACGTAATATATGCTCTAAGTTGATATAGTAAGTTGGTTTCTTACTCCTTGAATGATTGGATTTTTTTTCTCTTCCCTTTAGTATCTGATATAAAATTTTCTTCCAGGAAATCTTTCCTCTCTTGCACTGCCACTTGTCCCCTTGGGGTTATTGGGATACGGATACATGTGGTGGAAAGTAAGTTTTATTTGGTGGTTTTTGTAGAGTTTATTTGTGTCTACATGGCTAATATTTTTTTTTATTCTATTAATTATTTTCTCGGGATCTTTAAACTTGATAGGGGTATTCCTTGGGGGATCTTATGTATGTTACAAAGCGCAGCATGGCTGATGCTGTTTCAAGCATGACAAAGCATCTGGAACAAGTGTCGTGTGCTCTTGCTGTAAGTTTCTTTCTACATCCTTTTATCTTGTCTTTGGTCTAACCATCTGAATGTATGATTTTGGCATATCTGTTGCACATTTTTTATAGCTTCAGTTATTAGTCTTTGAGATATTGAAACATATGAAAGATTACTGGGTATCATGGAGAAGCATGGTCCAGAGCAATCGAAATGTTATATCCATGTCAAGATCTATTTTTATTTTGGGGAATCATTTGTATTTCAACTTCAAACCTGGTGTATAGCAAAAGTTTCTCATTTTGGTCGTTTTGTCTGTATATTTCTGTACATTGTTGATAACTGCAATACTGCTATTTTATGAATGATGTATCGTTAATTTTTTATCCTTCTTCTTTACCAGGCAACAAAGCGCCATTTGACACAGAGAATAGAAAATCTGGACGGAAAAGTTGATGAGCAGAACGGAAATTTGAGGGAAATAAAAAAAGAGGTATGTTAATGTCAATTCAAACCTTATAGTTTTCAAATGATTAGAGTGGTTGTCATATCACTTGCCGATATGCTATAAGTTAGATAGTTTAGAAGTATTTACTTTGCTCATTATTTTTTTTACGTCTTCTGTGGCAGTCCATTTCATGTCGTCGTTTTGGCTGGTCGTGTGAATTCCATTTATTTTTTATAGAAATTTTTCTTCATAGTGAAATTCGTCATAATTGTTGCTTTGTGACCAGGTGATTGATGCTAATGGAAAAATTGGAAGAATCGGAAATGATGTGAAAGCAATTGAATTGTTTCTTTCAACTTTGGTGAGAGAATTCTATCTTCATAATGTTTTTGCATTAAATACTTTTATCGTTAGTCCGTTGTGTGATGTAAGCGCTCCCCTTTTGTCTGTTTCCTGCAGGATGCAAAGATGAGTGCCATCGAGGGAAAACAGGTAGGAGTAGTTCCTAACTTGTACATCAACAGTGATGTACATTCTTTTAATTTTCAGATACCATCGATCTGTGAGGTATTAAATATTTTAAAAATAAATCTGTGACGTGTAATATGCATGAAAGTAAACCCTTCCACAAGGCAGGTTTTGGTTTATCTCCCGAGGGCTGACACATCTTCTATCTTAACTGTGACTTTTCTCAGAAATATCCTTATTATTTGATTTCTTAGTCTGAAGAAATGTTAGCAGAAATTTTAAAATATCTATTTCTGTCACTGTTATTTCTGCCTGCTATCTGATCAATGAAAATCTGGTCACAGGATCTTGCTTGTGACGGGGTTTTATATCTATGCCAATTTGTCCATGATAAAGGCGGAAGGACACCCGAGTTCCTGCTGGTATGTTTTACTCTTTTCTTCATCGGTTTTCGAACATTTGGTTAATCTCTCTGAGGAGAGGGGTTATAAACTAAGTTGAAGAGGAGGGTTTGGGGATCTCCGAAGACAATTAATGCTACGTTGATTCCCAATTAACTTTCTTATGTGAAAGAAAAAAGGTGGGAGCTTTTTAAGTGATTAAGCATGAGGAAATAAAAAAAAAATAAAAATGAAAAGAAATAAAGAGAGCTCTCAATAAATTCGTTTGGGTTAAAATCTTAGATTCTTTGCATTTTCATCATGTCTTTTAGATTCTACCGGTGTCATCAAGTTCTCAGTAGCCATTAAACCATTATTTTTATTTTTATTTTATTTTTTCCCTTTGGCAGAATATGGCAAAATCTGGCACTGGCAGGCGAGCACTGGGTTTCTCAGAACCTACAAGCTTGAAGGTTGGTTATTGTCTAATGAAAGCTTATACGGCTTGAATTATTACATAAAAGGTCTCTTTGACTTTCTTCCCCTGGTTGTATGGCCAACAATGCGAGAATTTCTTGCAGGGTCTTCAGCACATTGCTGAGTCTATGGAGAAAGCGAGCATCCAATCCATTGACAATGAGATCGAATCTGTGGAGAGCTCAAAGATCCCATCAAGGTATCAACCGAATCTCACCTGCCTCAAAGGGGGCAGGAGTCAGTCTTTTGGCCATGGATGACAGCTCCCTCCCCAATCCCTAATTCCTCCCTTTTGGAAATGCTCTTGCAGGGCTGCTTCTATCAAGTGTTGAGACTAGTTCGAGGGATGTAAATAGGTTGCGGGCTGGAATCCGTAGATCATGGAGTTGCTCTTCTAAGTCTCTCAATTAGAGAAAGAAAGAAAGAAAGAAAAAACCTATACACACATATCGTGTGCATCGTGAGTGCAATAAGTTATGATTACTACTGTTGGATTTGTGATAATATTTCATTTAAGTTGTTCTTGAATATAAATACAGCAAACTAGATGGAAAGTACTCGTTAAGAGGCTATTGCTCTGTACTTAACCCCCATGCATTTGCAAGTCATTAGATACATCATATGATGGTTGGTTATATATGCACGAACATTGCACAAAGATCATCTGATCCCCATACCTGCACAAGCCTTTCAATCAAGAGGAGAACCTTCAATTAACATAGGGCAGATTGCTCCGATTCACACTTTCTTCAGATCTTCAAACTGGAGTGAAGACATCGCGTGCTATATTATATCCACTAAAGAAGATACCCTAATGATGAGGGGGGCAATTGGCCCTTCGGAAGCAAGCTATCTGCCGGATAACACACAGCTACAGAGATGCAGGAGGGGCTGCAGGGGGTGGAGCCATTAATCACTTAGCTTTCGTGTAGGAATCTCTGAGAGTGACCGTCCTGTTGAAGACAAGCTTCTCGGGGGTAGAGTCGATGTCGATAGCAAAGTAACCTGTAAAAGGAGGGAAGGGGAAAAAAAAAAAAAAAAAAAAAGCGTTTAAAAGAAATGAAGGAGAACCCAAAAGTAGTAGATGGCTGAATCTATATATACATATAGCATTTGGTATATGATATTCTGACGGATAATCATCTGTCCCGACCCATTTCCCTTTTAGGGTTTAAGATCGTTGAACCGGGCCCAGAGATAGAAATACGTCCGGGATGCAGTTTCTCTGATAAGTTCAATCTTGGCATATGAAAGGAAAAAATACTATGAAAAGAAAGATTACCGAGTCGCTCAAACTGGAATCTGTCACCCAATGCCGCAGTAGCCAGAGTTGGCACAGCATATGCTTCTGGTATTATTTCCTTGGAATGTGGGTTCAGGTCAGAGAGCCAGTTATCCTCGAGTTCCGCAGGATTCTGGAGAGCAAGATCATGATTGTTACAGATGTGAACCTCAAGTCAGCGGTTTACAGCATTCAGAGAAACAGTTCAATCAATCACCTCTGACATAAAAAGCTTCTCGAAGAGCCTGACTTCTATTTTAAGAGGGTCAACGCCTGGTGAAGACTGGGCTACCCAATGGAGGACACCCTGTTGAAGACAAATCTTGGGTAAATAACTTGAAGGAAGATGGGAAATTTCCCTAAGATAGAAAGAAGAGAATAGCAGTACAGAAGAATATCCCTCATTCATTACCTTGGGCTTTGTCTTCTTGGAAGGATCATACTCGGCGCGGATCTCTTTGATGGACCCAGAATCATCATACACAACTTCAGTGCACTTAATGGGAAAAGCATACCTAAGATAGAAAGGATGTAAAGCAGAATATTCAGTTAATCTAAGTAAAGAACAAAAAAATAAAATAAAAATACTGATACTGCGATTATGGTTACCTGAGTAGAACGGATTTACCAGGAGCTAATCCATAGTAATCTTTTGAGTCTTTGGTGCGGAAATCAGATTGTTCAATGTAAATAGTTTTTGAAAAGGGAACCTGAGAGATGAAATAATGAAAACATTGCACACCGATTGAGTATACCACAAATTAAACACTTTCTAGAAGATATGGATGAACACACCAACTCTGGGATGATTCTAAAAAGGGACCCATGAGACTACAAACGCCGGTGAAGACATGGAACGGTCTCAAACTTGTATCCAAGTGAATGCAAGTAAAAGATACCTACTGCTATCGACATACATTTTGTAGTCTGGTATTTAATCATATGATTCAACCCACCAACAACGAATTTTTTTTTAAAAAAAATGAATGAGTGGGAAAATGTCCAACTCAGACAAGATGTAAAGGATCGAAGGTGGGAAAGATTGCAACGCTCATAGCAACTGTGAAGAGTTTCACAAATTATGGCTTCACCAGACATAAATGCATTGTTATGACAGGGATGGATGGCATGTGGTTCCTGTAAATTTCTGTAAGAACCAGATGGATCACCTTGTAGATAGCAGAGTTGTCATCTGCCTGGGCATCTGGCCATGCTTTTGCATCCAGGTGAATTACCGATTCACTTTCAAAATTTTCAATCACGACCTAAAGATCATGAAAATAAAGAGTTAAATTCTGAACTCATATGGCTAGCGATCATATATTTTCGGAAAATATTCGAAGTACCTTCAGAGGATGCAGAACCACCATTGTCCTAGAAGCTGTCCTGTTCAGCTCTTCCCTAATGTGGTACTCAAGGCGATCATACCTAATCATACTATTATCACTGTGAAACGAAATAAAATGGTCATTAGGGTACAAGATATCCAAGAAAAATAAAATAGCAAGCATTCAAGGAGCCTTCACAGTCTCATGGTCATAGCCACACCAAATTTTTTTCCCAAGTCAAGTTTCCTACATCTTTCATTCAAAAGGTCCAACAGAAAAGGCACAAGAACTATAGAATACACCTTACGGAGAAGAGCACCATAGGCTTACTTTACTGTATAGGTGAATTTATAAATAGAGAAGACCTTACAGAAGTCATCTATCTCCATAGTTAATATCCTTGCTGTCAGTAATAAATTGAAAAAAAAAAGATATTCTACCACAGGAGGAGACAATTTCCACCCATATAGAAATATTTAGCAAGGCAATTAATTGTAAGGGTATAGCCCAACAAGAGAATAACTCATCATGGGCACACAATAGCAAGATGCATTCATAACATGTTGACTGCATAAAAATAAATTTTGACAATAATAAACCCCCAAAAAAATGAACATGATTTTGAACATCGATCCCTTGTATATGGCATCAAGTTTTACTACCTTCTGGTTATTCCAACTCCTCGAATAAAGGAATTAATTGCAGTTGAAGACACTCCTCGCCGCCGTAAACCTGCCAGAGTCAGCATGCGGGGGTCATCCCAACCATCAACCCACTTCTCTTTCACCAATCTGTTTAACTGCAATGTAACAATGCTAAGAAGATAATGAATCTGACGATAAAAAACAGTGCTTCCAAAGAAAAAAACCTTTTTGGTAAAACAGGAAGAATGTCTTTGTATACCTTTCGTTTAGACATCACTGTGTTAGAGACATTCAATCGAGAGTACTCCCAGACATAAGGCTGGTAAAGATTCAGTGCTTGCAATAGCCAATAGTACGAGGCACGGCGAATCTCAAACTCGAGTGTACAAAGCTACACACAACACCAAGAAACATCAAAACTAGGCATGATCCACAGAAAAGAATATTTCATGACATTGAAAAAGACCTCAGAATATTTAAGACAAGGCCATGCAACCAACAATCATATAAATGTACGACATGGACAATAACAACCAACTGTAACCTAGATAAATGAACTATTCACGATCAAAAGAACCATCGTATGTCGACCAACAACTACGACCAAATGGACCAAATGGCACATCACCAGAAGGCACATGTATGACGTAAGACAAATGATTCTAACTGAAGGTAGATTCCCTTACAGGATAAACAAATCTCATTAAAAAATAATATAATGGTGTCAATGAGTGAACATGACCTGCATAGATACACTAATAAAACACAGAAACCCATCACAGCAGACGATTAAACGTTACAGAGAATGATCACGAACTAAATAATAAATACATTTCAATCAAACGTTAATCAATAGTACATATTAAAATTGAAAATATCGATGAAAATGGCATAAAAAGTACTCAGGCAGAAAGATCATCCTCAATGACTTCCTGACCCAAAATAGTAGCTTACGTGAATTTGGAATTTTGAGAACTTACAGAGTGTGTGATATTTTCAAGGGAATCAACGATGCAGTGGGCATAATCGTAACTTGGGTATATGCACCACTTGTCTCCAGCATGTGGATGGGGTGCAAACTGTACAGAAAATGGAGAAACGTCAGCAACGTCTGTTCACACAATTTTTTAAGAAAATTATATTTGAGTGCGCTTGCCTTTATGCGGTACGCTATCAAATCATACATATTTTTGTTATCACTCTGCATATCTTGCTTCATCCTAAGTGTTGCCTTGCCCTCATCAATCAGACCACGTCTCATTTCGTCAAATAGCTTAAGTGACTCAGAAATTGGTCTATCTCTCCAGGGGCTGTTCATCATTTTTTCCCGGTATTCTTTTACCTCCTCTGGTGTCTAAAAGAAAAACATGGAGAAACATAGAATAAACATTTTGAACAGACATTGTCTCGAAAACCTCATAGTCATAAAAAATGGCTCCATATAGTGCATTTTATTCATATCACTAGAGCATGTGCTTTGAATGTACCTGATGATCAACATATGCATAACCATTGCGAATCAACTCCACTGCTAGGTCATATAACTCTTGGAAGTAATCGCTTGTGTAGGTTACCTGAAAAGGAGCAGATATGTAGGCTACAGAAAAAGGCATCTTAGAATACAAAAGCAATATACCTTAAAAGGCTTCCAACCCATCCACTCAACAATCTCTTGGATATGATCAATATATTCTTGTTTCTCAGCTTCGGGATTTGTGTCATCAAACCTGTCACAAAAGTACTTAGAATATGTTAACGGAATCAAGATAGAACTATGAAAGTAATCACCAAAGAAATGAATACAATTAGGGCATAACATCATTTGAGAAATGACATAGCCGAATATGTTTTTACCTCAGATAACAACAACCATCTCTGTCCTTTGCCAGGCCAAAATCGATGAACATAGCCTGTGTTCATATTACTACATTAGAAAACTACCGCCACTTGAGACAATTGCAGAGCTACATAATTTTTATCTTAAAGGTGAATGAATACCTTGGCATGACCAATATGCAGATACCCATTTGGTTCAGGAGGGAATCGAGTAAATACTTTACCACCAGTTACTTTCAAATGATTCTCTAGCTTGTCTTTTGTGTTGTGAGTACGCCATATGGTTCCATCACTGAAAAATATTTCAGTATGGACCTAGCAAATGCACCCAAATCAAATGAGCATGTGAAAATTAGACATGGCTAGGCACTAACATTTTAAGAAATATCACAATAAAGTTACATTGAACATTCCATAAAGAAAATGTAGTTAATTGTAAAATCAAAATACTCAAGATGAAGACTACAAGCTGAAAATTGCCTCTATGTAAACTAGAGTCGATCCAATTTAATTCGTAAAATTTCAGTATAGGGCGATTAAACCCAAGTTAACATAGTGAATGAAACCACAAAAACTAGGTGCAATGAAGGTGAGCGAAACAACAAAGTCTAGGTGTAATGTCTTCATATACTAAACAGGTTCACTGTAACCCTATTCGTAGCAAAAAACTTATAAGGCCAGTACGATCACGATAATTATCCGCAAACCTTTCGAATCTACTGAGAGGATTAATCTGACAACCTTCTCCCATCCTTTGTGAGAGTTACAAAGTAAATCTCTTGCACCTTATGCCAGAGTTGAAATATTTTATCTTAAAAGCAGAACGGAAATGTTGGTAAATGACAGAAATGCTAGAGAGTTGGTTCTCAAGTATGAAGGGAATCTGTCATATAATCTATTCCGGAGTTTTTCTTTATGTTTATTATCTTCATAGACAACAGTTTGTCATCTCACTGCTTTATCTGCTATATCAGAGAGGTGGAAATTCGGAATAATATCATCCCTCTTACCTGTGTTTTCTTCTGTTTTCAGTACGTTTTAAATTTATGTTGGCTTCCACCAAAAAACCTCACAAAAAGCATAAGGTAGTCATCCTTCAGTTATGAGCGAGAAAATTCACAACCTATTAAAGTTTCAACACAAGATTTACTGACAAATGTATTAGAAATCCAGTCAAACACATAAAACCAAAGTGAATGTTTCTTCTTATCACATGAAGCAGAGTGAATGCTTCTAGCAAAGTGAGAGAGAGAAACTTTCATTCACCTTAAGGTTATCTTCCGGCTTTGGAAATATAGAAAATGGGTTAAGTTCTTCCTCAGATGGTGGGGGCACGGCAACTGTCACAACACTTTTTTCCTAGAAGCAAAATCAGATAATAAAGGAAAAACAGATTATGAAGAGAAAAATAAGAATCGCTCTCATTCAGCATGAAAATTAATTGCGCTAAGTGGATGCCCACCTCAGCTTTTGCAGGCTTCTCCTTCTTCTTTTTGACGGGTTTTTCATCATCTGCAGCAGTTCTATCACCAAGTATTCCTTTAAGTCTCCTATCAATAGTTTCCTGTAAAGAGAGGAAAAGTTCCAGTATGACCTAAGTTTAAGTAAACTAGAAAATGAGGTAAATAAATTAATTTCTACCTTCACAATCTTTGCATCAGACCATGGATGCCACTTTCGAACTTGTCCACATAAATTACCGACTGAACTTCCAAAGAAAATGGATGTGCATCAGCTAACGTCTTAAAATGTCATGCTTCTAAAAAGCAATGCTCAAACGTAAACAATTTTTTTTTACCATTTATTCGATAACGTTGTTCCAGGATAGCGTTCATGTTCTCTTCGATAACAACCGAAACTGTAGCCTCAATTTCTTCAACTGAAACTTCTGCCCCTGCTCGCAAAACAAATATAACTATAAAAATATGACAAGAGAAATATATTTCTCTGGAAAACAGCTTGTTATAATGCTACTTGACTTCACAAAATGCACCATCTTTAGAAAATATCTTGAAAACGTTATGAACTATGCATCATCACTCGAATCAGTGTCTCCAAGATGCTGTCAACTGCTGCATTTGGAACGACACCCATACCAGACCTTCGGGATATTATTATCTTAGTAATACACTTAAATTCACCAAATTAATTTAAATGGTTTTTCACATACCGAAGTATATTCTTGATGTCTCTAAACGACTAAATGCTAAATTTTAAAAAAAATCTGAATATTTAGTTGAATATTTAATTGAATATTTATTTTAAAAAAATTAGTGTATCATAAATTTATCATACATAATCTGTCAACACAAGTAGCGATTATTCATTATTTCAGAAAGAGAGCTGTCAACCAAATGCCATTCCTTCTCACCAAGACTTCTGGTGGGCATCTCTATCTATAGTGCAAACAAGAAAACCCTATTGCCTGTCAATAGCACCTGATAGGTTATCTTTGTGCTCAAAAGGCAATGTTTACGGAACTGTTAGAAAACTACACACATTCCTATGATGGAAAAAAGAGAAGTTTTGTTTACTGGAACCTGCAAATCTTCTTTCAAAGAAAACCCTCCATAAATTTTCTAATTAAAAGTGATATTACGTTGTTATGTCTCCACAGGTAAACACAATAAAGAATGTACTGCCAAATAACTCATAAATAGCTACATAAATAGTATACAATCTTATTGTTATTCACTTGAGATGAAAAGGATTCATTAACCAAAACATTGCTACATGGTATTACAAGAAAGATTGTCATCATTGAACTATCCGCTAAAGATAATTACTCACATTATGGTCAAAAAAATTCTAAAAAGGCATACCTACACCACATGCTTTTTCAAAAGCACTCCAATCACATTTTTCAGGGCCAACATTTGCAAGAAATGACCGAGCTGATTCTACTTGAGCAGAGCTTTTAATCTGTAAAAAACCGTGATGCAATACATGAGAAAATAGACCAGTGTGCCCAATATTCATTGGTCCAAGAATCAAATGCGACAAGACTGACAGAACAGTCTGTATCATTAAATCATTTACTTTTTTTGGTGTTTCATCTAAGGCAAAAAATATGCCAATGATAAATGTAAAAATAAACATACATGCCTAGTCTATACTTGACCAGACATGCCAGTAAATGCATTATGCTGATGGTACAAAACAAAGAACCATGACATGGTATACCCAAAATAAGAAATCAACTCATGCAGCACATGCAAAATGATAACGAATGGAACTGACTGTGACCAAACACACAATGGTATGTTCACTTCGCAGAACCCTGTCATGGTCAACGGGTCAGCTATTGTCCAATAAATGATATCAAAAGAAAAGAAAAAGTTACAATGAAGATTTCAAATGTACCTTAGATGTAACAATATATTCTTGAACCAGAAAGGACCTATGGACAAGGGCATTTGCTGGATACTTGGTTGCAACCTGCCACGTGAGACCAAAGATTTGTTTAAATAAATATGCATGAAAGTTTGCCCACAAAAAATATCATACAATAAGTCGGTTACCATATATAGCAGGTTCCCAACATTCTTGCTGCAGCCATCAACAACACCTGCCTGTCAACATGCATGAAAAAAGAGGAACATCATTCAAGTCATGCGTCATGCATCATAATACGAATGTATATTTATATATATGACTCTAATCATAAATATTGGCGAACATGGTGATCTGCGTAAAGAATAATTTGTCCAGATGCAATACACCTAATCGTATTACAAGGCAACTTAACATACAAGGCAATATAGTCACTTTATGTTCAATATATATGATGCATTATACAGATGATTTACATGTAACCACGGATTTTGCAATTAGCTTCAGGATGACTGAAACCATGCTCCTGTAATTCTAATGCAAATTATCTATAAGCGGTATATTTATCAGCCACGATACATTATCACTTACTAAATGAGGACAGGAAGAATTTGACTCCTCACAGCTTCAGAGATTACAAAATATTTTCTATGAGGCCGACTGAAACGGGAAGGATTTTCTACTCATGCTCAGTTTCGTATGTTAAGGAAATGAAACCCATCCCTCCCCGCAGACCAAAAAAATCAAGTTTTCAGTAAGTATATTTTTTCGGAATATTTGTAGCTTTCATTCCTTATGGATCCGCTCATTCATCTTTACAGAATTTGGATTTAATCATTTAAAGAAGAAGACGAAGAACCTCCCACCAGAGTAAGTTTTGCTAGAGAAAGATTCTCAATGAAATGATGGTCTTAGCTCCCAAGACCGCATGACCAATTGAACACCCGGTCAATGGAAAAGGGATAAATAAATGAAATCAAGCAAGTTCCAAAACCGGCATGGCGTGAACTGCTATAAAGAATTGACCAGCATTCTCTGCAACACAACCATTCTATTTCCTTCCCGCCACAGGCCCGCGTGCATGAGCGTGCACTCCGATGAGAGAAACCTCGAACGCAGATTTAGATAATGGATGCGTCTCCTCATTTCCATAGTGAAAACATGCACATCTTCGGCCCTCACGCTACGAACAATCGCTAATAATTATGCTCGAAAATCTGAAGCAAGCGACCAGCACGCATGTAATTCATAAAGAAATTAAGTTTTATCGCGCTGACCGCGCGGCACAATGCCCACTTCAACGAGCGTCGGCGCAAGTCAATTCACTTGGGCACCAAGAGCAACATCAGGGGATACCTCTTTGATGACGGCGTTGAGGTTAGCGGTGACTTTCCCATTTACGAGCGCATTCTCGGCCGTGCGCTTGTCCAAGCCGATGCCGAGGAACAAATCCAGCGGCTGCTTCTCCCCCATCCCTCCGGCCCTGCCCTGCGCGACACCCAACGCCAGACGACTTGGGAGACGCGGATTGAGAGAGACTTCTCTTAGCCTTCGACAATCCAATTCCGGCACCTGCAAGCGGCAGGAGAGGAGCCCCACAAGCGGAGATGTCAACGGAAAAACCCTAAAAGCAGAGATTACTCACTGGTCTGTATATATAGAGCTATGACGCAGGAAAAGTGCCGACCAAGTTAGCGAGAACATAGTCGACTGTCCAGAGGTGGCATCTGGCGCGTCAACACCACGTTAGCCAAATGAAGCAAGAAGGTACAGCGTATCGACCGCCCGTTTCTTTTGACCCCTGGTTGACCTCGCCCATTGTTAAAAATTGATATATATAACAAATTTTATTGCGTCAAAAAAGGGTTTTGAGACCCAATTATTATATTTAATTAAATATAAAATAAATTGGTGTAAACTAACCAGGCCTGGTCGGGCTGATAAATAGACCTCGTAATAGGCCCATATTCATGTCAGCCCATTAAAGCTAGTCATACGTATTGGCCGATTTGATCTATCTATCCGTTATGGTTTCCGTTAACGGATACCCTGTCCGATATTCGGAACAGAGCAAGCGGCTGATTCGTATCTCCTCTGCAGAGCGGACAGAAACGTCGAAGAGACAGCGATAAAACCGCCTAAAACCCTCTCTCTCTCTCTCTCTCTCTCGCCGGAGGCTTGTTGGAGATGGAGCTTCTTTCGTCTTCTGTCCCTCTTCGAAACCCTAAGATCTCGTCGTCCGTCCTCCTCTCCCCGACGCCCGCAGGGAAGGTTTTCCTGCCCAGAACATCTAACTCCGTGAAGAGGGCCTTCTCCTTGAAATGCAGCAGGGCCGACTTCTACGAGACGCAGCAGCAGAAGGTCTCCGGACCAGGGGAAGGAGGTGCGGCTCTTACAACGTCTGGCCTGCCAGACGCCATCGCCTAGAGACGGGAATGTTTCTGTACTTCTAATTTGGGCAGGCCATCTTCTAAACACGAAGTCTGAGCTTCTTTCATTCGCATGCAGCTCCGATGGCTAAAGTTTTCGTGGGGCACTCCATATACAAGGGGAAGGCGGCGCTTACAGTGGAGCCGAGGGCGCCGGAATTCACACCATTAGACGTAACTCAAGCCTTCCCAGAATTTCAGCTAACTTCTATGAAACTCTTAGGCCCCTTTCAGCTCTGGTAACTCGCGGACGCTACTTGAGTGCAGTCCGGAGCTTACAAATTGTCGAGGGAGGGTTGCATCTTTCTCCAGTTCGCCCCAGCGGTGGGAACCCGGCAATATGACTGGAACAGGAAGCAGGTTACTGGCAATATTTCTCGTGCACTGGAATTATTGACTGTTGTTTTCTGTCAGTTTATGGTTGAGATGAAAGCTAAATGCCATGGCACGCTCGTCAGCCATGCTATGAAAACATGGAATCGCATCCCTAGTGAGTAGAAGGCGAGACGCCGTTGACAACCATTGATGCATGCATGAGGTTATCCATGAGCCCTGCTGTAGTGTGAATTGATTATCATATCAGTCGACCATTTTTCCATGGCTCAAGAATGTTCTTGCTGGCTTCAAAATATTCTGAAACAGAGTGAGGGAAATCGATGAAGAAATTACGATGCTGTTTAGCCTATCCAGATGTATACACTCGATGTGGGATTTTTCTGGAGAGTCGAGAGTTTCCTCTTTTAGAAGGTTAAGTAAGGGCAAGTAGACGAGTTATGTTTTGACAACTGCAAATACATGGTCTGATAACTTCCTTAGATGCTCTTGTTAATACTTTTTTCTTTGTGAAAAAATATTTCCCATCATGGAAAATTCTCTCCAGTAAGTATCTCATGATATAAAGTAAGAAGATATAATGTCCCATAGAGTTCTTAGTGTTTTATTACGGTAACTTAGATGGTAATATACTTATCTTTGGAGGGAGAAGAAGCCCCTCATCCCACTGAAAACCAGGAGATACTGACTGAGGAGTTCCTCGAAACAAAGTCCTTTAGGGGGAGAGGGTAATACTTTAACTTCTCAAAGATTATCCAAATACAGGGAACAGATCATCTCCGGAGAGAAAAGACTTGGAATCCTTAGGGGGCGAGAGTCTCATTAACCTTATGGGCTTTGAGGGATGGTGTTAATAGTGCCACACTTTTCTTCGGTGGACCTTAACCGTGCCTATGGGGGTTGTAGGGCATTATTCTTGCTTAAACTTCAGCTTTCCCTGATATCAGTTTTGATTTTGTGATCACATAAAATGGATATGATGGGAATTTTTCAATATTTTGTTCTTATTTCCAGGTGTTCTCGCTGTCTGTTTCTGAGATTGGAACGTTGATGAACCTCGGGGCAAAGGATTCGTGTGAATTTTTCCACGATCCATTTAAAGGAAAGAGGTACCTGAGCCATAATTCTCTCGTTGATTTTTCATAAAAAAAAATAAAATCTTTTCCTTAGGGGAGAAAAATGTTAGCAATAACTAGATCATGGATTCGGAAATGTTTCCTGCATTCATTTTATTTCGTTCCTGTGTGGGCATAAATATACTTCATTTTATTAACTAGATCATGGATGTTCATGAATTCCTAAAGTTCTCATATGATACTTTTGTGATTGGGAAGAACTCCCGACATGTATCATTTGTACGGCAGTGAGGGGGGCATGGAAGGTTATGGATGAGGGTTTCATTCCCCCCTGGGCGGGAGGAATTTAGTGCCCCAAATGCGCGTTCGTCTATGAAAGAAAGGGAAGATGAAATATGCTCTAGCTTTGTTAAGTTGAAGTATATTATTTTTTAATGTAATACATCCAGATGTGCTAATGAGGACTCGAATAGTTGTTTGTTTATGAATTTGAAAAAATCATCTGGAATATTTGTTTTCCTTGCAGCGATGAGGGGAAGATCCGCAAGATTCTGAAGGCTGAGCCTTTTCCGGATGGCGGTGGCCACTTCTTCAATCTCAGTAAAATCCATCTTCCCTCTTATAATCCGTTCAATGGAAAACTTCCTAATTATATCTTTCAACAAAAAAAAACTAAGGTAATTTGACATCATCATGCATGTGGATCAGTTCCAAGAACAGGGGACCAGAATCAATGCATCAGGCTAAATAGAGATGGATTTTCCTAATGTTCTTCGTGCTTCATTGAAGAACTACCCAGATAGGCCCTCATATCTGGAAATACCCATGGATTTTGCCATCCATATGATGCTCCTCTGCATCTTCCCTCTTATAATCCGTTCAATAGATAATTTCCTAATTATATGCTTCAACAAAAAAAAAGAAGGTAATTTGACACCATCATGCATGTGGATCAGTTCCAAGAACAGGGGATCAAAATCTCTTGCGAATGCACCAGGCTAAGTAGAGATGGATTGCACTCGTGTTCTTCATGCTTCATTAAAGAACTACCCAGATGGGCCATCATATCTGGAAATACCCAAGAATTTCCTCTGCCGTCTTGGTTTTCTCATTTATTTTTTTAATTTATTTTTATTTTCAGGCGTTCAAAACCGGCTCCAGAATGTGGATGAGAATATTTACATCCCCATCACCAGAGCAGAGTTCACAGTTCTCAACTCGGCCTTCAATGTACGTCTTGCTTCTACTGTTTTAGTTAGTCCCTTTGCTGAGCAGATTTGGTGAGACTGAGACCGCCGTTGCATTGATTTCCTTCCCCCCTGCAATCACAGTTTGTCATTCCATACTTTCTTGGGTGGCATGCGTTTGTGGATTCCATGAAGTGCGAGGATAGCATGCGCTCCAATGGCGTGGTCCGATCTGGTGCTGAGTCTGAGTGGGGAAGATGAACCGGTTCTGGGAGGAATGCTGGAGGTGGGCATGGCTGCAGCGGCTCTTCTGCCATGGTTTTGGGGTCTCCCAGTGTTAAATATATCTGGTTCCATGGAATGTTGGGGTCTCCGTTTTAGGGGATTCTCCCATGTTTTTGTATCGGCGTTTTCAGCTTCAAGAACACCGTTGAATATTGGTGAACAAGACCCAAGTTCTCTGCCTCTGCCTCTCTCTCTCTCCCTCTCTGTCTCTGTCTCTCTCTCTCTCTCCCCCCTCTCTCTGTCTGTCTGTCTCTCTCTCTCTCTCTCCCCCTATCTCTGTCTCTCTCCCTCTCTCTCTCTCTCCCACTCTCTCCCCCTATATCTCTCTCTCCCACTCTCTCCCCCTATATCTCTCTCTCTCCCTATCTCTGTCTCTCTCCCTCTCTCTCTCCCTCTCTCCCCTATCTCTCTCCCTCTCTCCCCTATCTCTGTCTCTCTCCTATCTCTCTCTCCTCTCTCCCCTATCTCTGTCTCTCTCCCTCTCTCTCTCTCCCTCTCTCCCCTATCTCTGTTTCTCTCCCTCTCTCTCTCTCCCAATCTCTCCCCTCTCTCTCTCTCTCTCTCTCTCCCCCTCTCTCTCTCTCTCTCTCTCTCCCCCTCTCTCTCTCTCTCCCTCCCTCCTCTCTCCCTCTCTCTCCCTCTCTCTCTCTCTCTCTCTCTCTGCCTGCCTCTGTCTCTCACCCTCGATGGCTCTCCCTCTCCAGTGGATGAGGACCACTGAATCATCGGTCCACGTACATCCCATAAGACGGGTAATTTCACAAATAATGAGTAGTTAATGTGTTATTTTGTAAATTACAAAATAGCCATAACACGAGGGTCGACTAGTAGGAGCCTGTTCCACGTTGCGCTTTGTATTTCCGTACACACGAAACTCATAACTATACTATATCCGTATATGACCTCATTGTTATCATAATTGTGGTGGTGGGATCGAATTCAAAAATACACTGGGATAATCGGTAATCATAATTTATCAAGGGGTATATTGTAAATTATTTGGGTATGTACCTCCCTTCTGCTTCCCCCTTCTCATTTTCTTCCGTTCTCGATCAGTTCCTGTGAGTTTCAGGATCCTGATCGCGTTTCCGGTGAGCTCCAGCGAAGAGTCTCCGGCCTCCACCGCGGATCTGGTGGCGTGTGCGGCGAATTGCTACCCTGGTGAAGATGTACGGATTCGAGGCTATGACCTTCAACATTCATGGGGGTTACCTCGAGGCCATTGTTCGGGGGCATCGCTCGAGCCTCCTCACCGCCGCGGATTACAACAATTTATGCCAGTGCGAGTCCCTGGACGACATAAAGATGCATCTCTCCGCCACCGAGTACGGCCCTTACCTCCAGAACGGTGAGTTCCTGTGTAGCCAATGTTTCTCTGGAACCCCTATTTGATAGCGTATCTGATTGAAGTTTTTGTTTTGAATCGATATTTCTAAATTATTGTACTTAAAATCTCTCTCTAAATAACTCGATTGATCATAGATTTGTTGTAAATCTCCGACATCTCCATCAGGCCAGAAACATACAGTTGTTAAGATAATTGATTGATTATGCGGATTTTTTTTATTTCATTTGAACATACGTTTAGAACTCGATGCATCTCAAATAACAGGCTGCATTCAAGCTCAGAAATGAAATTTTCAGGCAGTATTTTTCTTTTGCCATGTCCTATGGGATCTGCATTTTCTATTTAATATACTTACTGTCGCGGTTGATAATTAGAGATCACGAGGGATAGTAAAAATATGACCCCATAAATATTACAATTAATTGCATTCACTCTATATCGGTGATTCGTATCATTGCGTTGTTGGAATAGTTGTGGCTGAAATATGAGGCATTAATGTTAAGGCTATTATATATTCATTTTCGCTTCCTGGCGAAAATCAATTCTTGAAGTGATCCTCCTTTTTAGACAGTGTTGGAACATTCTTTTCCGGAAGAAGGTTCATTACAAAAAAATTGACTAGTATGGAAACGATCTTTTCAAAGTTTTGAGTGGTATTTTATTTTTTAAAATGACCTTTGCAAAGTTTTCGGGATCATTTTACCTTTTTGAATGAGGCTTCTCGATTACTTTATCCTTAAAAAAAAGAATTAAATTAGATTGGAAAAGAGTCCCCCATAATGGAAGCAAACTGAAATAGTTTTTCCTTTTTCGCAGTTCTCACAAATTGTTGTCTGTCGGTTTTTACTATGTCATGCCAATATTAACCTCTGCATCCATCTGACAGTTAGTATGATAAAAAAAATAGAACCACTTTCACCCATCCGTCAAAATGCTTACAGATCCTGAGTAACAGCCTGAGGAAAAACTGGAGAAGAATCATGATTACACATCACTTTCAACTCTTTGACTATGTTCTTCCATCCTAAAGAATGAATCTTGTGCACATGCAATATTGCGAGAAAAGTTTCACATGTATTTCCTCTTTATGAATAAACGCTACCATTCTATATCATGTTTCATTTTTCGTAAATCTTTGGTTGATGCTCTCTAACTTGCAAAATGTTGTATAATTTTCATCTCGTATAATTGAATAGAATCCATGCCTCTATCCCTCTCCTCTAATTGTGACATGCAAGCCAGTTTGATGTTTACTTTCTTAGATTTGGGAACTGGGTGTTATTATGTTGCTCTAATAACCATTAGTGTGGGACTTGGTTGTTCCCCTGCTTGCTTTCTTCTATCAAGTAAATGGGCTCCATAGTTAGCTTTTTGTAATAAACCACCAATCTGTTACTGGTATGATCCTCCCATCTTGCATTAGCTTTTAATTTATTATTTTTAACAGATTTTCAATGAAATCATATCAATGCTGAGTGTCACGAGATAGTCATCAGTTTGCTACTTTGGAAAAGAATCCTCTATTGATCAATCGGCACTTTTCTCTTTTTTATGTTGGGTTTTAAAATGATATTTGAACATTTAGCTTGTAAATATTTCAGAGCCTTCACCTTTGCATACGACTACAATCGTGGAAAAATGCACTCTTAAGCTGGTCGATGAGTATAAGCACATGCTGTGTCAAGCTACAGAGCCTCTGTCAACCTTTCTAGAGTACATAACGTATGTGATCCTTCTGGTTCTTTGAGTCATATATTCTGGAGATTGAAAAGGTGCGTCATAAACCATCTGACTAAGGTGATTCAAAATATCTTTTCCAGGTATGGCCACATGATTGACAATGTTGTCCTTATTGTCACCGGCACATTGCATGAGAGAGATGTCCATGAGCTGTTAGACAAATGCCATCCTTTGGGCATGTTTGATAGGTACTTTTCTCATGTCCTTCTCCCTATTTTCCCAATTTTCTTTCACAACTTTTTTTTAAGGCAATCTTTTATTTTCTTCATCAGTATCGCTACTCTTGCCGTCGCAACAAACATGCGTGAGCTCTACCGATTGGTGCTTGTGGATACACCATTAGCTCCCTACTTCTCTGAATGCATCACCTCGGAGGTAATAGCTCTCTAGCATTAGTATCACCATACCATATTTTTTCAAATTATTTTTCTAACATGCTGGTCATGGACTGTCAATAGGATCTGGACGACATGAACATTGAAATTATGAGAAACACTCTTTATAAGGCATACCTTGAGGACTTCAACAGATTCTGTCAGGTAAAGCCTGCCGAGTACCGCACTCAAGTAGTGACATGTGGTTGGACGGATATGTTTGTGATTCTTTATTACATGATCCATTATTTACTCTTCAGCTTTTTAATGCAGACACTAGGTGGAGCCACTGCTGAGATAATGTCTGACCTCCTTGCCTTCGAGGCTGATAGAAGAGCTGTTAATATTACAATAAACAGGTGACGTCCTTCGAGAAGAAAAAAGATCTTAGACTGCTCCTTTTTCCAAATATATCCAGCCATCTTCTTTGATCTGAATTATCACTCAATTTTCAGTGAGGGTACATCTGAAATGTGATCGTTTGTCATTAATTTTGCAGTATTGGGACCGAGTTGACAAGAGATGACCGTCGAAAGCTCTATTCTAATTTTGGTTTACTGTAAGGATTATCGTTAATCTTTATGTTTTTTATCATATTTACCATTCGGCCTTTGATCATGATCAATTATTTTTTACTCTGTTTCCTTGCACATATCTGCCCGATAATAGATCATAATTTTCCCCTGTAGTTATCCTTATGGTCACGAGGAACTTGCTATTTGTGAGGACATTGAGCAGGTAATCCTTGAACAAGATACTTTAATATCAGATATTGCCTCAGTAACTTGGAATTCTGAAATCAACATACATTGTTGCCGATTATCATTTGCCCTTGTATGATGCTTCCTGATGGTTTTATCCTGTGAGCAGTTCCTTTCGAAAGCAGAGTGTTTTACCGAATTTGGGTCGTCTTTCTCTGGATGAGGGCTTATGTTATATGTATTTATATACATTTATGCGCATCCGTATTACGTAAGTTGGAGAGATAAAGATATGGCTGTATTGACGTGGATTTCTCTTTTGGTATCGCTTGTAGGTGAGGGGTGTAATGGAGAAGTATCCCCCTTACCAGTCGATCTTCGCCAAAGTGTCATATGGAGAGAGCCAGTTGCTGGACAATGCCTTCTATGTTGAAGAGGTCAAGAGGCTCTGCTTGGCGTTTGAACAGCAGGTAACTCAGCTCTCAATAATACTCCCGAAAGCTGCAAAATAGCCCATTCCGAGATCAGCTGTCCTTTAAAACCATTAGACCTCGATGGATTCCATGCCTGGCCTTACCCTTTATCTCAGAGAGAGAGAGAGGGAGAGAGAGAGGGGGAGAGAGAGGGAGGGAGGGAGGGAGAGAGACGGAGAGAGAGAGAGAGAGAGAGAGAGAAGCAGGATCCTATCATAGCATGAAGCTGGTTCGAACTGGATCTGGGTTGGGTCGATTTCCCTCTCTAGAAATACTTTGGTTTCGAGGCCCAAGACCGGATTAGAGACAAGGATCGGTGGGGTTCCATTGACTCGCCCCCCCCCCCTCTTTTCATCTCTCTCTCTCTCTCTAAAACTCTCTCCTTGTGCAGTTTCATTATGCAGTGTTCTTCGCCTACATTCGACTGAGAGAGCAGGAGATCCGAAATCTCATGTGGATATCAGAGTGCGTGGCGCAGAACCAGAAGTCCAGGGTCCACGACAGCGTTGTGTTCATATTCTAGCTTCATCTGCCACCTCCTTCCCGCAGCCTTCCTCCCCGGTCGACCATTTCCATGGATTGATGGTTAATAATCCCTCTGTTCCTCTCCCTATTACGGTGGAGGAAGAACCTTGAAGACCATAGTTTGTTCCAGTGCTTGTAACTCGTGAGTTATAAAGATCATCCTGCGTTCATATTGCAGTGCTTGCTCTCTCTCTCTCTTCCTCGTCGTCTTCCTCCAGTTCCTTTCCTTGCTCTCTTCGTCAACCGCCCTTTTCCTTAGTATGGTAGAGGCTGGAAGAGAAGGCGAGGAGTACAAAAGACGCTGGTGGAAAAGAAGCAGCTCAAGAAAGAGAGAGAGAGAGAGAGAGAGAGAGAGAGAGAGAGAGAGAGAGAGATGATTTGAACTCCTTAAGAATATCCAAATAGCAAACAGTAACAATGAATGAATCACTGCATGTTTTGACATACATGTTCCCAACGCTGAGAGTACTCTCTAAGATTCGGATTTGTAAGCAATATTGCATCGAATAACGGGAATAAAGTATCGTCGTGATCTTTAATTCTAGCCCAGTATTCTTAATAAATTTTGTATTTGTCATCTTTGGTAGAATGATTTCTATCGGGATTTCTATCAGACGTGGAAAACGAAGCTACGAGATGGGGGGGGGGAGAGGACGGGGCTCCGGGAGCCGCACATAAGTGTAAACATGTCTTCTTTTTTTTATGTTCATCAACAGTTCACATTTCTCCAGCGCCGGCTCCTCCCATCCCACTTCAGCTGGGGAGGAAGTAATCTCTGGCCATCATTACTTCTCAGTCTAAAAACAGGGCATCGGTCAATGTGCGAGAGTTTCGGCCGTGGACGACGGCAGGGAGCTGCCAATAGCGTCCGGGAGGGGCTCGCGATATATGAAGAACGTGTAGACACCCGCTAAGGCCGTCGCTCCGGCTACCATCCAGACCACGGCGGCGAGCGCCGGGGGCAGCATCTCCGCGACCCGGAACGCGAACATGCCGTTCAGGATCAGGGAGAGGAGCCACACGGCGAACTTGAGCCGCTTCTCTTCCGCGGTGGTGCCGGCTCCGGCGCCACCGCGGGGCAACCCGTCCAACCTCCGCAGGCACCAGAACAACAACAGGAGAGCCACGTAGGCGGAAACGATGAATGAGACGGTGGAAAGGTCGGCCCACGCCCGGTGGACTGCCTGACCGGTGGTGAAGGTGAGGAAGAAGAAGACAAGGGCAGGAATCCCAGAGAATGACTGCCCATCTGGGGAATGAGGCGAAGGGGGCTCCTCTAGGAGCGATTCTGGGTCGACCTTAGTGGAATACATTCCTGCAGCACAGAACGTGTGTCGATGGCACGCAAGCCCGCATCAGCAAAAGAGGAAGAAGTAGCAGTAGAAGCCCGTAGGCATATGTTCGGAGCGGAGGGAGATATCCCGTTATATGAGGGTAGGGGATTGATGAGACCCACCACGCGGCTCTAGAAAAAATGGTTTTAGGATCACGGTGCGTTTCCTAGCAATTTCATTGTATCTACGGGGCATCGACGACCGATGAAAGAACGAGACTTGGTCGACCGGAGAGCACAAAAGCGTGTTGACCAGACGAGGCCCCCGCTAGGTGGAGGGCTACGAGTCGGAGAGAGAGAGAGGATGAGGTCTGCTCTTCCGGGGGGAGGCGGCGGAGAGAGCTTCGGTTGCAGAGACTCTCCTTGGTGGATATAAATTGTGAAAACAACAAAACTTTATGAAATCAGAGCGTATATATGAAATGCATTTTTCCCAATTATGAGAGTATTCTTTAAGAGCTGATTCGATGAAATTGTTTCTCGGAGAAAAAGGTTTCGTCTTTCTGTGAAATATTGTATCGAATAATGGGAAGTAAGCATCGATGGCTTCTATGTTGAAGAGGTCAAGAGGCTCTGCTTGGCGTTTGAACAGCAGATAACTCAGCTCCAAATAATACTCCATGAGTTTCTACCGAAAGCTGCAAATAGCCCATCAGAGCTCAGCTGTCCTTTAAAACCATTAGACCTCGATCGATCCCATGCCTGGCCTGACCCGTTATCTCAGAGAGAGAGAGCGAGAGAGAGAGAGGGAGGGAGGGAGGGGGAGAGAGAGGGAGGGAGGGAGGGAGGGAGGGAGGGAGGGAGGGAGAGAGAGAGGGATCCTATCAAAGCATGAACCTGAAGATTCATTATGCAGTTTCATTATGCGGTGTTCTTGTGCAGTTTCATTATGTGGTGTCTTCGCCTACATTCGACTGAGAGAGCAGAACCAGAAGTCAAGGGTCCACGACGGCGTTGTGTTCATATTCTAGCTTCATCTGCCACCTCCTTCCTGCAACCTTCCTCCCCGGTCAATCATTTCCATGGATTGATGGTTAATAATCCCTCTGTTCCTCTCACTATTATGGTCGAGGAAGAACCTTGAAGACCGCAGTTTATTCCAGTGCTTGTAACTTGTGAGTTATAAAGATCGCCCTGCGTTCATATTTCAGTGCTTGCTCTCTCTCTCTCTCTCTCTCTCTCTCTCTCTCTCTCTCTCTTCCTTGTAGCGGGGAAGCACCTCCGCTACCCGGAACGAGAACATGCCGTTTAGGACCGGGGAGAGGAGCTATACCGCGAACTTGAGCCGATTCCGTTCCGCCGCGGCGGTGGCGTCGCCGCCGCTGGCGCGGGGCAAATTATCCAACGTACGCAGGCACCAGAAGAGCGCGAGGAGAGTAGAGTAGGCGGAGACGATGAATGAGACGATGGAGTGGTCGGCCCACGCCCTATAGACGGCCTGACCGCTGCTGGAGATGAGGAAAAGGAAGGCAATGCCAGGAATCCAAGGGAATGAGGTCTGCTCCTCCGCGGGAGGCGGCGGAGAGGGCTTCGTTATCAGAGATTCAGGGTCAGCCTTAGAGGAATACATCCCTGCTACACAGGCCGTGTGTCGATGATAATGGCGCCCAAGCAAAAGAAGTCCCGCATCAGCAAGGGGCAAATTTTCGGGGCGGAGAGAGAAGGTCACCACTGAACATCAAGGCGCACAGAACGTAGACAATAATTTGTTCTTTAAAAATTATGTTTACGGAGAGATCGTCATCTCCACATCGTCCGGCGGCCTTGCCGGTTGATCTGTGCCGGCGTCACCGTCGAGGGGCTCGCGATATATGAAGAAGACGTAGAAACCCGGCTGGGTCGTCGCTCCGATTCGCATCCAGACCATGGCGGCGAGCGCCGGGGGAAGCATCTCCACGACCTGGAACGAGAACATACCGTTGGGGGCCAGTTGAGACCCGAACAACCCAAATGTGCTTAATAGGAAAGAGGTCCCGAAGAAGTCGGCCCAGCCCAGGAATAAGGCAAAGGGGACAAATGCACGTGGGAGCCTGCAGGACAGGAGACGTGTGCGGCGGATGGAATTCGGCGGGGAACTGTGGCAGACCCGACAACGACGGAGCACGGCAAGGCTCAGGTCCCGTCGGACCCGATCGGAGTGAGCCGAGAGGCGGTCGCCGACGCCAGAGGGCTTCGGCTATAAGGAGGGGCCGAGCGGCCACAGGAAGAGGAGGTCGGAAGAACCTCGTGAAGACTCCGTGCGGAGTGCGCCCTCTCGAATCGGCGACCCCAAGACCTGAGAGGTCTTGGTTATTGTTCTCTCTCTCTCTCTCTCTCTCTCTCTCTCTCTCTCTGTGTATCCCCCGGATCCCTCGTCGATTATCGTCCTCTCTTCCTCTCTCTCGCCAACCTCTCAGCCGTTCACTGCCTTCCGGCAGGAGTTACCCGGAGCCCCAGGCTTCCGGAGTTTTGTATCAGACCAGTTTGTTTATCAAACTCGTCCGTATTTTGACACCTCGGACAGAGGGTCGTCATCAATTGGTATCAGCACAGCCACGCTTATATGGGGCCCAAACCCTCCGATCCCAAGCTCGACTCTCTCGAGAAAGAGCTGGAGGATTTCCGGCTCCTCACCAGCAATGAACTGACGGCTTCGTTAGCAGAGATTCTCGGTCGATCTCGGTGGGTTCCATCCCGTCTGGGCTATGGAGAGAGAGAGAGAGAGAGAGAGATACAGACAGACAGAGATGGAAATAAATTGTGAAATTCATTTCATTTCACTCTTTGAGAACATCAAAATAGCAAATACATAACAATTTATGAAATCACAGAATATTGTGGAATACATTTTCCCAATTACGAGATTACTCTTTAAGAACTGATTCGATGTTTTTCGGAAAACAAAGATTTCGCCTTTCTGTGAAATATTGTATCGAATAATGGGAACAAGGCATCGGCGTGATCATTTTTAGTTTAAATTATTTCTGTCGGGATTTCGTATCAGACGTAGGAGACGAAACTACGAGAAAAATAGTGGATAATTGAATCCAGATTTCGCGGGTTCTTGCTGCTCCCTTGCCGGCTAGCCTTCACATCTCCCTTTTTCATCCCCGTCTCCTCTTTCCATTCGTCGGAATCAACTGCGGCTTTGCGGATGGACGACACGCCGCTGCCTCGTACAGCGGCGGCGCTGGCGACCCCGAGCGGCTCGAGGACGGTCCCGGACGTCGGCTACGACGCCCTTACACACTGCGCTGCCTTCCTAGGTATGCGAGATCTCGCGAGGATGGCCATGACCTGCAAGTTGTTCCGCCAGGTCGCGTACTCCGATTCCATCTGGCGCCGACTGTTCAGGTGCCCCCTCACCTCCGCCGCCTCAAATTTCTGGTTTTCTTTGATTCGGTGTCTTTAGTTTCATCGCTGTTCCACCTCCACAACCATTTTTCAGATTTATACTCATCTTTTTGCATGGATCAATCCTCAGAGAGAGCTGGCCGCAGAATTTCATACCCCTCGAAGCATCCGGTGCAAGGGCAGCGTATTTGGCTAGGAACGCTGCAATTCAACAGTTTAGATTTGATGATCCCCTGAAATTCAATATTCCTGCGTATGCATTGCCTCACAGCCATCTATTATTCGACAAAGACGATGTCATTCTCGCACAGGTAATTGTTAAAAACTCGTCATGTACATGATTCTGTGTCACTATTCTTGAGAATTTCCTAATGTCCAGAGGTGCCATGATGAACTAGACAGATACCAAAGATATTACAGAGCGGCAGTCATTACCCTTTCGAGTAGGTTTTGAAGGGTCATGAATTGATATCATTTCCCTCTGATTTAATACAAGAACTAATAGACCGTGGTTGCGCGCTCTGTGATATCCACGAAGGATTTCCTCTGGCCTGTATGATCACTCCCATAGAGCCCTCCGTTTCTCATGCCCTTGCTGGGAAAGGTTCCTGGTTCAGATGGTTGATCCCTGGTTCTTGTCGGATTTGCTCGTCTCTGGAGATCTCTGATGGAAACCATTCATCCCACTCTTTGCATCAATCTCTGGTCACTTTATTTCTAGGATATTATAGCGCATTCTCTGTGATTAACTCACGATGAATTCTCTCAGCATTTTTCTGCAATTGAAGGAATTTTGATGTTGTTTAAATCTTCTTTATTAGGGTTCAACACTCCAAATCCTGAAGGTTGATACATCAAGCAGTGAAACAGCACGTGCGACGCTGCGGGCTCACAATGCAAGGATTACCTGCGTGAGGTGAATTTGGTGCTCTTGGAATGTTATTGAATCATCGCTGGCGTGATCCCTGTTTTGCAGCTTCTCACAGCATCAGATGCATGTTCCATTTGCCGCTTCATATGGTGTTTTGATCTGTGGATGGTCTCTCGATCCAGCTTGCCTGGATTTCATGGCATTTCTTCTGTCGAAATTTACAAAATATTAGAGTTGAGACGCATTCTTTCTCCCCCCAAGTCTCAATTTAATTTTTTCCATGGACATGGCCCTCAAGTTCATTAACATAAATTAATGGTAACTCTCCATAGAAGATCATCCATGGCTAGATAATTATAATTTCTGAAGTAGATAGACCGAAGATATTCACTCATAAAAACAGGAAAATGATCCCAGAAGGTGATTTCTGAATGGATTATTTTTACTTGATTTTGGGAAAACTCAAAACTTTGTGAATGCGAGGAGAATCCATGATCTGTTTTATTGGAATTAACGCCTCCACGTTTTAGTCGCTTTGACATTTAACATCATGAACACATTTCCCAATATGCAGGACGATTTTAAGATTGGAGATTGATCCTGCCGATGATAACCCGCTGTTTTTCAAGCACTGAATTGATTCTTGAAGCTTTTTGACGATCCATTCTGAATGTTTTCAAGAGATATTTCGCATTACTATTTAATTTATAAATAAATAAATCTGCTCCATCTCCATCCAGGTGGAAGTAGACAGGATATATCAAAACGCAAAGACTAACACAACGACTAACTTTCTCAGTTCGGCACTTGAATTATCCAGATATTCTACACTTTTCTCCCTTTATTTTTAAGTCATATTGAAGAAGTTCCAGCTGATGTTAAATCTTTCACAGTTCAAAGATTTACACAGTTGTATCATTCAGTTTTGGAACTCACTGTCTAAGAACATGCATATGCAGAGAGCCGTTTGTAGAGGATCAATTCCCATTCTTGATGAAATTTAATTCATTTCTTGCTCATAAATTGTTTTTCTTGTTAACCTTTTTTATGATTTTTTTCTTTTGTGGAACAGATTGTTCCCTCTCAGTGACACATTTTTATTTCGAAATGAGGCGCAGAAGAATGAAAATGTCCTGGTAACCTCAAGTTCAGATCATACGATTCGTCTATGGTGGAAGGTACTTATAATCCTCTTGATAAGCCACTACCACTGTTACAATCTGCTAAATAATTTTTACTAATTCTCCCAATGTTTGATATTTTCTCGATTTTTTGTGAGCACGAGCCAACATTTTCAAATGCATATGAATCAACTAAATACTTGGTATGTAAAGCAATACCATCCTGAGAAGTCATCATTTCTGGTGATTTCACAATCGCTCATGGTTTTTTTTTATGGTTCTAGTTAAGAATTTTCATTGATTTATTTTTTGACGGAGAACATATCTGCCTGAGAGTTGACGATCGAATCATTTCGGATCAAGAGCGGGGTAAATGTTCTACCTCTTTCTCTGCAGGGTCGCTCCCAACGTTGTTTCAAGGGTCATAATGTCCCAGTAACAACCCTGGCCGATGGGTTGCTGGGAAAATCCGGGACGAAGCTGCTCGCCAGTGGAGGAGAAGATGGCAGCGTCCGACTGTGGTCCTTCAGCTCGAGTGGCAAACGTCAACCTCTGGTGGCCACACTCCATGGCCACGAGAGACCCATCTCTTTCTTGACAGTTGCTGGGTATGATCTTGGCCTACTCCTCTCCCAGTCAATTTCATATTAGTTACCATCATTTCGTAATCATAATCTATATTCTGTCCACAACATCATCTCTGATGCGTCCGAATTCCCTGCTTCCTTCGCCCACGAGGCATCTTTCTCTTTCTGATCATTACATTAGGGTATATATACATATTTATTCAGAAGCTGTTCTTGCAGGCACAGTCCGTCTCTTCTTGTGAGTATCACCAAGGATGCCAAGGTGCGAGATATTCCTTAAATTTACGTTTTTTTTTCTTGTGAGATCCTCAGGAAATCTAAAGGACCAGTCTTTTTTTGGTTTTGTATTTTATTTTCTGCTCCACTTAATGGAGTCGGTCCTTCTTAGGATTAATTCCAGCTCCTCCACCACCTCCACAGATCAGGGTCTGGGATGCAATGACCACGACGTCCGCCTCCCGTTCTTCATCCTGTGTGGGAACGGCCTCCCTCTCTGGGCAGCCAGTCGGCATGAAGTGCCATGAGGCTCTGTGTTACATCGCCGCCGGCTCGTCTGTCACTGCAATAGACTTGAGAACAATGCGGAAGGTCTCCACCTCCGCCATCCACCCCACTAAGCTCCACTCCTTCGCGATTCTCCCCTCGAAGCCCTTGATCTGCACGGGAGGAGACGAGAAGTGAGCTCCTTCTTCTTCTTCTTCTCTTCTTCTCTATGAGCCGTGGCTTAGGGTTCTAGATCTTCGCCTGTTGCAGAGCAATGCTGTGGGATGTGCGGATGTCCTCTGCGGCAGAGGCGGAGGCCGAGCCGGTGGCGACTCTGGATGGGCACGTCGGTCGGGTGGCGGCGATCCATGCCGACCGCTACAAGGTGGTCACCGGCGGGCCCGACGATCTCTTCGTGAAGGTTTGGGAGGCGGACACTGGAGCGCCGACGAACTCTCTGGAGTGCTGCTGCAGTTCGCCGCCGGCGGAGGCGGCGGTGGGCTTGTCGGCCATGGCGGTTGACGGCGCCCGCATCGTCACCGGCGGCTACGGGGAGGAGCCGCAGCTGCTGTGTTTCAGAGACTACTCCAACTCCTCCGTCCCCATGACCGATCGTGAGCAGGGCTCGTCATCAAAGTTTTGGGAGGAACCGTCATCTTCGTCAGACGACAGACCCCCAGACCCACTGTAGCAAAGTTCAGCTGAAATGTGAGAATGCGCTCTGATAGGGCCACCTTGACCGGATAGCGAGAGAGGGTGGGGGGAGAGAGAGAGAGAGAGAAGACAGACAGGCAGAGAGAGGGGAGAGAGAGAGAGAGAGAGAGAAAGAAAGAGACAGAGACAGAGACAGGGAGTAAGAGAGAGGGAGAGAGAGAGAGAGAGTGCAGTCTGAAGTGCCTACGATTCGATATACTAAGTGAGCTTCCTTCGACACCATACGAGTCGCTCTGATCTGTTTTCATTTTCTTATTAATTATATGGGCCTTGCGACCCACTGAACCCTGGAGTCCGGCCCACTAAGATAAGTTTGATGCAGGGGGGGTGGGTCTAGGCCTTGTGGAAGATAATCTGGAGCCCGTACTGGGGCTGCAGGGTGATGAGCTTACTGGGGGCGTGGACGTAGGAAGGCGCCACGGAGAAGGATGAAAACCTCTGCAGAATCATGGCCAGCGCCACCTTCGCCTCCACTATGGCCAGGTTTTGGCCGACGCAGATCGTCGGTCCGAACCCAAATGGCAAGTACGCGCCGGCGGGCCGCCGACGGCCGTCGGAGAACCGCAGCGGATCGAATCGGCAGGCGTCGTCCCCCCACAGCTCCATATCCCTGTTGACGGCGCCAATGGGGATGAAGACCTCGGTGCCGGCGGCGACCTCGAGCGCCCCCAGCTTCACGTTCTTGGTGGCCAGCTTCCTCATGGCAGGGGCGGGAGAGTAGAGACGGAGGGTTTCGTTCAGTACCAGGCCAATCTGTTCCTCACACAGACGAAGATGCCGGTTCAGGGGCTGCAAGTGGAAACCAAACCCTAGGGAGATTGAAAGAAGAAGCTCACTGTTTTGAGCTTGGGGATGTCCTCAGCGGTTGGGGGATTATCCTCGCCGCAGAGATTCTTGACTTCCTTCCGGGTCTTGGTCTGCCATTCCTGGTGCAGGCCGAGCAGCAGCAGCGCCCATGTCAAAAGGTTGCCCGTGGTGTCCTTTCCGGCGAAGTAGAACGTCTTGCATTCGTCTATGATTTCCTCGATCCCCATTTGATCCTCCTCAGCTCTTCGCATGTTAGAAGACATCAGCAGGCCCAGAAGATTATTGGAGGTTTCTCCTGCGCCGCCTCTGCTGCGGATTAGCCTTCGTAAGGACTCCCTTATCTCCGTGTCGATCTTCTGCCGCCGCCGGTTTCTCCGTGTGGGGATGTAGCTGACGAGCAGAGAAGAGAGAGAGGGTGGAGATGAGCAGGTGTTCTTCCTCAGGGCCGGCGTCCAGCAGATGGAATTAGTCGCAGGAACAGGTCGTCCAATTAATTACTTTAATAATGATTAAAGTTAGTGATAATCACATAACATACGATTCATATATATCTAGGTCCACATTGAGATCTAATCTAACATGAGGAACTGTCAAGAAGATGAATCTGTACCTAAAGCCTGGGATGTAAACGCTCTCCGTGGCCAGATAGACGAGGAGTGCTTGCTCCTCTTGCAGTTGGAAGATACGGCTCCCCTCTTTGTAGCTGCTCCCGAATGCCACGCGAGAGATGACATCTGCAGCGAATTGTTGGAGCTCTTTCCCCACTTCTACTTCAAAATCGCCGCCGTTGGCTCCCATCCTCTCCCAATTGTCAAGCATCTTTGAGGCGCAGGTCGCGATTTCAGGAACCCAACTCTATTTATTATGCACGGAGATCTCGAATTAGTGCAGATAAATTGGGAAACACTGATCAACAATCACGACGGTGGAGGAGATGATTGGAGGACCGACCTTCACCCTCTCCATGTTGAAGGTGGGGTTGATGATCCGGCGGTGGAGCGCCCACTTCTTCCCCTTCAGCCCCACCAGGCCCTCCCCGAACAGCTGCTTCGACTGGGGGTTGAACTCCACCTTGTCCAACCCCCCGCCGGAATCGCGCACGAGCTCCCGGACGATTGCCGGGTCGGCGACGGCGAGCCGCGGCAAGGACCCGAACCAGAAAAGGAAGGTCTTGCCATAGGCGGCGGACCATTCATGGTAGTGCGGGAGAACCCGCCGAGTGATGTCATGGTCGAGGCGATCGAGGATAGGCCGTGACTGAGCGCGGGCGATCATGTCGCGGATTTCGCCGGAGTTCCCGAAGATCAGGTGGCGGGGGGGAGGTCCTCCGATGCCCTGCCTACGGTAGTGACGGCGGATCTTCTCCGGTACCCATACGAGCGTATACAGAGATTTGAGAATGAAGAAGAGAAAGGGCGGAAGAAGAAGCACAAGACAGGAGCCGAGGAAGGCCATGGTGGGCGTGGTGGTAATGAGACCGATACGTCTGTTGAGGCGGCCCTTTATGAATTCGGCCGTCGGCCTTCAGCTAGTAAGCTCCTGCAAGTGGTCCGCCCGTAAAGCTGGCCGGGCCAATCTCCGCCACGTAGCGCGTCGTCTTCTACCTCACAAAACTACAATCTAGACTGCGAACCTGCAGATGCTCCGTGGGCAATCTCCATTGCCTGTGGCAGGGTCGTCTTCTACCACACACCGACGGTGGGAAGCCCCTTAGGGTATGAACAACGACAGTGGGCGGGCGTACCTTCTGGAGCAGAACAGCAGCAGGTGAAGCCGCACCGTAGCACCTCTATATCAGGAAATTTGCCCTTATCCAGGCTGCACCATCAAAACATTAGGAGAAAAGCGACTCTTTTTCAGACCAGAAGTGATCGAGAAGTTGGCTTTTTCAGTCGCCTTCATTCGTCTCGACGTAATCTTATTCAAAATCTGAAAATGCTTCCGGAGTTGGTCGCGAGGTATCGGTTGAATCCGATGGAGCAGTCTCAGAAGAAGCTGCGCCGGTTTACTGTGCGAGGGGCGAGCGGCGGGTGGTGGGGACGAAAATATGGAGAGAAGGTGACTGGAAAAGAGAGAGAGAGTTGCATAAATTAAAAGGTAAGTAATAAATGCTCCAGCACTTTTCCTTCTACTGTTTTGCATTTAAATGCCAACAGTCGCGGAATGGTGAAACGAGCCGCCGCCGGTGGCTACGCCGGAGCTGAGCTCCTCTGGTTCGTTGGCCTCCTGTCCAACGAACCAGAGGAGGGAGAGAAGATGCGCGCGTAGTCGGTAAGGCGCCGGGAGCCGGCCGGAGGGGTCAGGCCTAGGAAGGTGGCGGGGTGATGCTAGCAGCGCCGCAGAGGGCCTCGGATATATGAAGGCGTAGAAACCCAGCAGGGTCGTCTCTCCGGCTGCCATCCAGAAGATGGCGGCGAGTGCCGGGGGCAGCATCTCCGCAACCCGGAAGGAGAACATGCCGTTGAGGGCCATGGCGAGGAGCCACACCGTTACCGGTGCCGGTGCCGCCAGATAGGAACCCGTCCAACCTACGTAGACACTAGAAGAGCAGCAGGAGAGTAGGGTAGGCAGAGACGATGAATGAGACGGCGGAGGGGTCGGCCCACGCCCTGTAGACGGCCTGACCCCAGTTGAAGGTGAAGAACAGGAAGGCAATGGCAGGAATCCAATGGAGCAAGGTCTAAGAAATATCCCTCGGCTGGAGGTGGCTGAAAGGGCCCCTCTAGTAGAGATTCGAGGTCAATCATGTTGGTGTGGACACCAGGTGTCTTGTGAGACGAGAGGGAGCGCCGAGAGATGCAATTGGCACCTCATGTCTTACCGTCGGGCTCTCCTATCGTCGAGCTATGTCACTACGTAACCTTTGTGTGGCGCAGTAGAATGAAGCCTACGCACCGAGTCTCCGTTGTCGCAAACGAAGTACCCGCAGCCCGCCCCACTCAGCTCCCGTTTCAAGCGAGAAAAAGCGTTCTTAACCAAGAACAACGACGAGCATCGGTTCCAGTTTATACCCGACAAACAGCGAAACCCCGGCTAAGTTGAACCCTAAAGTCGACATCTTGGTTGGGAGGACTCTACTCCTACTCGCTCTCTCTCTCTCTCTCTCTCTCTCTCTCTCTCTCTCTTTTCGACGTATTCCTGGCCAAAGAGAAGAGTCCTCCCACCGAAGAGAGATTTCCTGCCTGCTTGTCCGCTGCAGAATCTTCCCCGACTTCTGTAGCGGAGGTGAATTGGGACCAGGCTGATGAAAATTCATGGGACCGTGGCCCGGGATTTATTGGGCCCGGGTCTCAGTTTGACTTGAAACGAGTTTGACTAGACACAGCTATGCGCCGCCGCACCCAGAGGACCGTTGACGGTTGACGCCTGCCTTCCCAGGAGATAGCGACGTGGGGGGGAGAGAGAGAGCGAGACAGTGATAGAAAGAGAGGGAGAGGTACCTGGACAGAGAAGTAGATTGAGAGAGAGGGGTATACAGAGAGAGAGGGAGAGAGAGGGAGAGGCAGTAAGTAGAGTACGCATGTAGTTTTTATACGGTACGGTATATGGCGTCAGAGTACAGTAGAGAGTACCGGCTGGCGTCTCCCTGTGGCTGTGAAGCCACCGCCGGGTGGAGCGAGAGACAGAGAGACTAGACGGGAGCTATGGTGGGGGTAGAAGGTGAACGCCGGGCCGCAGGTGGTTGTGCACCCCGTCGTAGGTGGTGATCACGTAGCTCGGATCTTCGCAGTCCCTCTGCACCCTTTTCTTCACCATGCAGCCCTCCGTCGAGCAGCGGTAGTAGTTCCTGCCATAAAAATTAGGCCTTCAGACTGACTGAATCTCGATCGATCTGCCATGAGAGGATGATGGATGTACACCTCGGATTCGGGCTGTCCTTGACCGACTTCTTGCCGTACTTTCTCCACTTGTAGCCGTCGTCTATAACCTCCACCGCCGACCTCGCTCTGAAGCTTATCCGATGCCCTGGATCCATCTTCGTCCTCTTCTCTCGTCTGCAAACCCGATGAATATCATATCAGTACACCGTATGCATGGAAATCGAAGGACAAACCAGAGTAAACAAGAAGACGCCCTCACGTCCATCTGGTCGCCCGGTCGGCAATGTTGGGTTCACGGCGGACCTCCGCCGCCAAGAACGAGGAGCTCGCCGGCAAACCTCGGACGAACGCCTCCATCTCCGAGCTGCCTCCGCTTTCCCCTCCGGCTCCGGCGAGGGAGTCGCAGAAGAGTAGCTCCTCCAAATCTGCGGCCAAGAAAGAAAAGTCGTCGTCCCCCGTCGTCGTCGCCTCAGCGAATGCCAACGCAGTGGCCATCTAGTCACGTCCTCTGTGGTCGGAGAGACCACCATGATATCTCATTTTTATAGCGGTGACTTGAATTTCTGAGATTTCCTAAGCAGCTTCCTCCAAGTTGCGGAACCGTCTCTGCCAGCTAATGCAGGCGGAGTCTGCCGGGTTTAGACAGCGGAACTGGGATCCAGGGATGCTGTGGAGACCGTCCGATGACGATCTAACGGAGTGATTTACTTCAGTTGAGGCCATCCAGCTGGAACCCATAGGCCCCGGTGCGAAAACGACCGTACACGAAAGAATAAGAATGATCGAAATTCCGGACTACCACTTTGGCACAATGGGCAATATATATATATATATATATATATTATAATTATCTGGGGGGCGTCAGCAGTAAGAGACCTCAATTTCATCAAATAATTTAGGTGTATGAAGAAATTTCTCATAGTCTGATAATTCAAATGAATATAATAAAAATATTAAATATGCCGGTGCAGCCTAGAAACACAACTGAAAGGAGGGTGAGTCAAACATGGGATGAGCTGTACTAATTTATTTAAATTTATTTATGGAATTATTTGATTTTTTTTACCACTCATAATTCCAGTCTTTGCTCAAACTCACGACGCAAATGGAATCCTATCTTATGATTTCTTAACGACATGAATGGCTAATTGGCTCAGCTTTTCCTTCGCTCTAGGAACCCAAAGAAAAGGACCCGGAGTAGTCAACTTCGGACATCAGTAGAGCTCAACTCTCTCTCTCTCTCTAATTTGGTCGAGATCATACCAGATTTGTCTAAGAATATAAGAAGAAGCCTTCAACTATGTGGAAGGCTCCTAGGATTAGTCATTGCTTGAGAATGAAAAAGATCTGGCCGTGCCCCACTGACTCACCGACCATGACTCAACATTGGCATTAATTTTGTCCCATCCGATGAGAGAGAGAGAGGAGAGAGAGGGAGGAGAGAGAGGGAGGAGAGAGAGAGAGAGAGAGAGAAGAGAGATAGGAAGGTGAGAGAGAGAGAGGAGAGAGGGAGGTGAGAGAGAGAGAGAACAGATAGAGGAGAGTGAGAGAGAGAAGAGATAGAGGAGAGTGAGAGAGAGAAGACAAGGAGAGTGAGAGGGAGAAGAGAGAGAAGAGAGAGGAGAGATATGAGAGCGAGAGAAAAGAGAGGAGAGAGGGGGGAGAGAGTGGAGAGAGAAGAGAGAGAGGGGGAAGAGAAAGGAGAGAGGAGAGAGAGAGGAGTGAGAGGGAGGAGAGAGAGAAGAGAGCAGAGAGAAAGAGAGAGAGGGGGGAAGAGAGGGGAGAGAGAAGAGAGAGAGAGGGGGAGAGAAAGGAGAGAGAAGAGAGAGGAGAGAGAAGAGAGGAGAGAGAGGGGGAGAGAGAAGAGAGAGGAGAGAGAGGAGAGAGAAGAGAGAGAGGGGGAGAGAGGGGAGAGGAAGAGAGGAGAGAGAAGAGAGAGAGGGGGAGAGAGGGGGAGAGAGGGGAGAAGAAGAGAGGAGAGAGAAGAGAGAGAAGAGAGAGAGGGGGAGAGAGGGGAGAGAGAAGAGAGAAGAGAGAGGAGAGAAAGGAGAGGGAGGAGGGAGAGAGATAGAGAGGGAGAGAGAGGGAGAGGGAGAGAGAGAGAGAGAGAGAGAGAGAGAGAGAGAGAGAGAGAGAGATGGCTCCCACCATCCCTCAATGAAGTGGCAGTCCTTGTCCGGATCATTCCCACTGTAGATCGTATTGAGAGAGATTGAGGGCCGCCGCCTCTCCTTAGACGAGGCCGTCGTTGTGTTCACACGAGCACGGCGTTTTCCCTCTGGCGGCTACTCGCAGCTTCCCAGAAAACCCCTTGAAGGCGCGCTTGTCCCACTCCCACCGGACAACCATGATGATGATGGTCAACTACCCACGACAGCTTGGTCAACGAAGCGATGCGTGCTCTTTCTTCGCGCCGCAAATATCAAATCGTGGTATCGTTCTGCGGTAAGATAGTGATCAAATTGGCCACACTTAGGTCAACAAAACTTTGTCACAAGAGGGTATCATACATAATTGAACCTTACATATGGGTTATCAACGTACTGGCGCTGGACGTGCTTGGGGAGGGGAAAGATCTGCGAATTCTCAACTCACAGTCTCTCCCTCGGCATCGACAAGCTCTGCTTTCATCCGTGAGCAGCTATTCTCAGCATGCCGTGGACAGACACCGTTAGGAATAATCCTGCTGTGTCTCCGGTGATCAGCGCCGTGGACAACCTTAACGGGTTCAAGAATTTATGAGAGACCTATATTTACATGCATGTGAGGAGAGGATAGTCGGTTCGGAGGCTTCTACTCTACTTTGTGGGCACTCTTCGAGGAAGATGGTCCCCTCCCTTAGCTAGCATCAGGTTGTTATACCAAACCAGCCCAATCTATATCGATGGACCCCAAATTTCGAATCACGACCCCGTTCTATATTTTCCACCGATTGTGTTGACCCGAAGTTCCGTCAAGGAAGTTTCCTTGGAATAGTGTTTTGCTAAAAATGGATCTGAATTATAGTCAACTGAGACGCTGCGCGCAGGCGACCCCCCCCCCTCTCTCTCTCTCTCTCTCTCTCTATATATATATATATATATATATATATATATATATAATGTTTGCCTATGGAGGGCTGTGGAGCTTTTGTACGGTTTTGCTCAAAGCCCTATTTTTTTCAAACTTCATCATGTTTGCTCAACATCTTTTAAAGGGTGCAGAGAGTTGGGCCTAGGCTAGTTTTACAAAAGTCAACAGCTTCTGAATTTACTTTGATCAATAATTTTCATCTGAATCATTTAAATCATAGGTTCTTTAAGAATCTAAAATGGTTCCTTGCCATTTTAATGATAAATTAGGCTTCCATGAACAAGGGAACTGCCTAATGAACTTGCTTTAACTTTGCCCTTAAAGATTAGAATATAGTTGAGTTAATCAGGGTTATCAATAGAATCCTGTACACTATTTTCCCTCTCCCAGTAGTGTGAGATAATTCATTGGAACACATTAACATTTTCTCCCTCCCACGATTATCTGGATTCACAAATATTATTGTGTCTAACCAATATTAGAATCTAAATGCTAGTAGAGGCTTGGCCATTGTGTCAACTGTTGGTTTAGAAGAGGTTGTAAGACTTTGAAGTGGGTTTTCATTAACCACACCTTGTCTTACTTGGCTTACTTTACCCCTTATCTAGACCTTAAGTTCTACTAGATCAGAGTGTTGCAAACTTTGAACACCAAGGCTTTAGCTAAAACTTCCACTATGTTTCAGTGCTTTAACTAGCCAAGTCTTTGTTAGAAACAAGTTAAATGCACACCTCTTGGAGGACAACAAGATTACCCTCCAAAGTATCTCTTCTAGGTTGACTCTAAAGTCTATCGATTGACTCAGTACAAATGAAGAACAATAAAATGCTCTAAAAAATTCAATATATAGCTTACATAGTTGAAATTCTTTGCATCAGAAATGCGAAAGTAGCTTTTCTATGTGAGAATCATGAATGACCACAGAGAAGGTTCTCATTAATATCCTTAAATGATTTTTCATCACCCTAAAATTTGGGGAGGATGTTATTCATATATTTCTCAATTTTTATTTATACTCCAATAACAAAATTTTACAATTCAAAAGTTACATCACAAATTGTTGAATTAGATGCTTTTTCTTTCTTAGATTAAATGTTTATCCCCTCTTGATTTTGTCATCACGAAAATAGAGGAGATTATTGGCACTTTGGTTCACTAATATCAAGATTTAAAAGTTGAATTATCTTAAATTAAATAATCTAAACAAATACTTAAGGATTGTGGATCAAATGGTATAGTTCAGTGTAATTCAGCATATAGATTGAAGGTTATAATGATTGGAATTCAGAATGACATGTCTAATTGTGTAGAATACTTTTACCGATTATGGGTTAAATGGATTAATCCTTGTATAAAATTGCTGAATTCAATTGAAATGTTTAATTGATGGATTATAGAAGGTTTAACTCACTATGTACTCATTAGTTAAATTTTTTTTAAGGAAATGTTTGAATGTTTAACGTATTGTACACCATTTCAGAAAATCTATAAGGTATAGACAATTACGATCAGCTCACAACAAATTAAGCATATCAATTATTCATAATAGACTTTTTGGATGTTTTATGACTAACTTGATCATCGCATTGGTCATAAATCAAAGTTTGGAAATTATATTGAGAAATTGTCTCATACTTGAAATAGTGAAAACTATCATCTGACCATTCAAATATTGCAACCATAAATGATTCACTTAGTGTTTTAGAGTTCAATGTTTTAGGGCGAGCTTAGGCCCAATGATCATCCCCAAAATCCCAGAAACACTCATGCAGTCATAATATTCATGCTAAATAATTAAATCTCTTGCTAGTAGACTAGGAAGAGGAGAGACAAGCCCAAGACGGTCAACCTTCAACTAGAACCGATGTCAAGTATACGTAAATGGGCTGAATCATCATTCCAGCTCATCGCATTTGAACCCAAGAGCTCACCCCAAAATAAGCCCAATAAGCACCTAGCTCTATCCATGTGGTGTTTCCGTATCATAGGACCCGTCATATATTGAGTTTATTTTCTTGGTTAATATTTAAATATAAACGTGGAGAGTGCGGACGTTGCCACGTAGAACCCAAGAAAAAGAGGCAATCCAATCTGAAGGGTGCGGCGGAGGGAGTTGCCAGGTGTCCAAGGGGGGGCCCGCGAACTCGTGGAGGCAATTAAGCCGAGAGAGGTAGAGGAAGGCGGATAGGATTCCCTTCTGTCTGATTGGCTGGCGGATTCCTGACTCTTTTAAAAATTGGAAAAAATACTCTGAAACAGAAAAGAGGGAAAAAGGAGGAAAAAAGTCCACGCCAGGCAGCAGAGTAAGGATTCCGGCGCCGGCGAAATGGCGGCGATCGGGTCTGCAACCGCCGGCTTCTCTTCTCTCTGTCCCTCCTCTTCTTCACCTCGCGCTCTCCCGGGAAGGAGGGTGCTGAAGACCCTCGCCATGGCGCCCAAGAAGAAGGTGGAAAGCTCCCGCCTTTCTCCACTGCCGGTCGTTTTCGGAGACGGGGACTGACCCGCCATGGTTTTTTCTTCCCTGCCTCTGGCCGAGTGCAGGTGAACAGGTTCGACGACGGCTGGGCAAAGCAGTGGTACGGGCAGGGGATATTCACGGAGGGTAGCGAGGAGGTAGCCGTGGACGTGTTCAAGAAGCTGGAGAAGAGGAAGGTCCTCAGCAACGTGGAGAAGGCGGGGCTTCTCTCCAAGGCCGAGGAGTTAGGGTTCACCCTCTCCTCCATCGAGAAGCTGGGGGTCTTCTCCAAGGCCGAGGAGCTGGGCCTCCTCAGCCTCCTCGAGAAGGCGGCCAGCTTCTCTCCCTCCGCTCTGGCGTCGGTGTCCCTGCCCCTGTTCATCGCCGCGGTGGGGGTGGTCGTGCTGATCCCTGATGACTCGGCAGCGCTCGTGGCCGTGCAGGCCGTGTTGGCGGCGGCACTGGCGGCCGGGGCGGCGGGATCTTTCGTGGCAGCGGTGCTGCTTGGCGGGCTTCAAGAATCGGACTGACTGAATCTGCTCGCGAAGTGCTTGATCGAATGCTCCTGAGAGCTTCTTCTTCCCCTCACATTGCTTTTCGCAAGAGTGATGAGGAGAAAAGAGAACTGGTTTGACACCCACCCTGCATCCAACCAGTCCTCGCCGCAGCCGGTTTGATATTTATTGAATCTCTGTAAACCAATTCCCTTCGATCTCGGTAGAAATCCAACTCCAACTTCAGCTTTCCGGCTCCCGGGCTTAGAAAATCCAGCCCAAAGAAGAGCTGCCTTAGTATGCTCTCTTTCCTCTACGCTGAAGAACCAGACCTCTTTTGACAGATATCCTCAAATCTTCTCGACCTGATGACGAAGGAACATAGCTGGAAATTTTGAGCTGGGAACAATCCAGACCCAGTTGTCATGCATATAGTTTCGGAGATTTTGTAGATATTAATGTTTTTCAATTACAAATTAATTATCATTTATTTCATGGAGACTACCTATTTAATCTCATATGATAATCTTCTATCCTTTACACAAATATATTAGAGCTCTAGTCTAATTACTATGCATTTAAGAACACAAATTTATTACACAAGTATCTATGCTTTTAAGTTAAACTAAGGTCTTTCGTGAGCCTAATATGTTTTGATGATGAGTGGATATATGGAAGGAGACCTGAGTATTTAATACATGATCTTGATTATTGAGCATTTAGAAGTTTTTCCCACTCTAAGGGCAACTCACTCAAGGTTAGAAAATTTACTGCCTATGTTTGAATTAATTGAGTTTCTTTAAGGTGAATCAATCATCATTTGTATAGTTTTTATAGAATTGATTTTCTAAATTAATTGTTGTCACTCACATAGATATGAGAGTAATTAATAGAACACTCTAAAAGAAGAGCCCAATTGAAAAAACCGCATAACAAATTTTTACGACATTGAATTGACTTGGAAATCAGAAGAGGCCCAAAGAACTCTTCGTATAAAGTGATGATTATGCTCAAATTATGATAATATAGAAAGAGGAAAAATGAGCGCACCATTCTGCATTAGTATATCTCAGCTTCAACCTTTCTCCAAGAGTCTATATCAAGTTATTGAGTATTGATGTGACTTAGTCGTTGTATAAGAAATCATTTAAATTTAAAATTTATAAAACTAGAAAATATTAATTTTTAGATATTTAAAAATATTTCTGAAAAAATATATCAATTATAATTTAATAAAACTTTCGAAAATAATGATATTTTTTAAAGTCAATTAAAAAGATGTAATATAATATCAGGTAATTTTTCAAATTTTGTTTCAAAGAATATGATTTTTTATAAATTTTATACTAAGAAATACAAAAAAATATTTAAAATTTATAAAATAAATAAATAATGGTGCGGACGTCAAGATGATGTTAGCACTTGACAAATATGAATTGGACGAAAATAAAGTTCTACCCAACAATTCTTACGTAAGTGATTATATATGATTTAATTAATCAAATTAAGATCTATAAAAAGCTAAAAGAATCGTAATTGAATGAAGTATAACTTGATAAACTTAAATCACATAAGTTATCACTAAATGAAGTGAAAATTAAGTTGAAAGTAGGAAAATAAAAGCTCTCCTTAGATAAGGATGATGTGGGTAATCTTTAGATCTCTTTGCGAAGTCTAAAGATCAATGAAATGAGTTGTTGAATCATCTTTAATAGTTCTCTCCTAGTAAAATAGAAAAATAATAATTTTGTGTCTCTTTGACGATTGTCACATGACAAAGAGGAGCTAGATGAAGGTGGGGTATATGTCAGAGAGCTTCATCCTCAGGTTTACATAACAAAAGAAGGCTCTTCATCACATGTAATATGCTCTTAAAAGGTGGCAACTCATCTCCCAACATATCATCCTCTTTCTGACGACAACTTGTTAGTCAATCAATCAGAAATGATTTACTTGATAGATTCATGATCTTTTTATCATGAATCGTTCAATAATTTTAGTAACAATGTTATGCGAATTACGTTGACGAGATTTTCACCAATGATTCAATAATTCTGACGACTTAATCCTTCATTGGAGATTTACAAGAAAGTACGATGATCAAATAAAAATATGAGTTTTGATTTTAAGAGGATTCGAATCTGCACCTATATAAGAGAGATTGAAATAAGTACTCTAATACCCTTATCAAGTGACATCATCATGATATATCTTCATTATAACTAAGAGATAGTTTATGTATTAAAATCTTCAAAGCCTTTCGGGGGAAGGTGTGATGCAGTTTTAGTCCCACATCACTTGTGCACTAAAGTTTTGGACGAATATATAGTAATATTATATTTGTAAGTAATGAGTATCTTTTTCCCACATGTACAACTACTCTTTGTCTCACAACTAGTTGGCCACTAGTGACATGGAAGAAGAGTAGCGCACATGTGCCCCCATCGGTCATAACTATTTGAGCCCTTGCTCACAGCTCCTCTGAACTGTGCTTCCGACTTGTTTGTGGGCTCAGTTGGCCAACAGGTCTCCCACTTTTGCTATATTTTTATTTTAATTTTTTTTCTTTATTTATCTCAAAAATAAGACTATAAAAATTATATAAATTCATAAAAAATCACATAATTAGCCAAAAAATCATATTAATCAACTTAAAACTATTTTTTCATAATTTAACATAAATATAAGTCTATTTATCATGAGTTAAGGCTAAAAATATATGATTTACTAATTATTGACTCATGATAATAAAAACTTATCAAGCACCTAGAGGTTCATCAAATTCTTCTACTCAATATCAAGACTCCCTTAAACTTATCTAGCATTGACAACATGAACAAGCCTCCAAGAAGTATTGTGCTAAAAGTCTAAAAATATGAACTTGTTATTCCTCATGTTTGGAGTAAGCTTACACAGTGCCTATTTAGAGGTTGAATCTAGAAGGAGATTAGCATTAGTTAATGTCCCCCTAAAATCCAAAGCTAGAAAAAGAGACTCTCTCTCCATTAGGCCCTTGGAAGCCTGAAATCAAGAAGAGGGGAGTGAGTATAGGAGAATATCTCTTTCTTGTCAACACCTAAGAGCCCATGAATTTACAAGAGGTTTCCTATAGGGATTCCTAAGTTAACTAGAACTGCTAATCCAATGTATAAGGCTGCTGAAGTACTCTGTTCAGCATATATTGGACTATCTATTCAGCATATACTGGACTAAAGTACTAGTAAAACCCAAGGAAGTGGCACAAGATGTACGTACTTGTGAAAATAAAGTAGGTTTTACAATCAAACTACTATACAAATGGCATGTCAAAAATGTTATGAATAACTGAAGTTGATCAGCTCAAGATAGCGAGAAACATGTATATGCAAAGTGAAATTAGAGACTTATGAATTCACCCCCCTCCCAGACGTTATGCCACATAGAACCTAAAAAAGTGTGGCTTTTTTTATGAACAATGTTACTTAAAAAATCATATGCTTACCACTCAGAAAATTTACTAGACAATAAATCGCAATAAAAAAGTCAAAGATTGAGGAGCGACCTAGCTCACATGAATAGGGTGGACACTCAAATGGGCCAGCTAGGTTGATAGAGCCCAATGATAATAACAGGCCAATAACTACCCAAGAAGGGTGGACACATTCAACTACCGCTGTCTACACCTTTTGTCTCCTCTCTATAACTGATTTTTCAAAACCTACCCATCCTAAAGTATTTTATGCACCAAAGACTAATTTAGACAATTAATTATTTGGATCCATTTTTCCTTTCTAGTACCCACAAACCAGTTCAACTATTGTTAACTCCATTGCTAGAACCCCTAGTTCCATTCTAGGTAGCTCTCTCTAGTCATCATTTTGTAAATGTTATGATAATATTTGGTTAAAACCATCCAAATATTTCAAATCCATGAATGCTCCCTTTTGACCAAGTTGGCACCATTAGCACACTAAAATGCACAAAAAATATTTATAATTTATTTATTAAAAGTACCATCAATGGTCTACTTATAAAACTTATTGCATCTGAATAAATACTATGTCCTTGTGATGCACATGATCTCATAACTATGAAAGCTGATAACTGAATTGTACCTAAGACATTGTAAACAAAAAGCTCATGAGATAATATGATGGAGAAACATATGAATGTTCTAACTAGATGATTACATTCAAATATAATTTCTAAACTAGAGAGGTCACTAATTTGCAATGACGATTTTGTCTTGTTTGCACATATTTCATTCCATATTTAGAAGATGTGTCATTTGGAGATTGATGTTTTTTCATTTATTTTCTACATTAATATAATTAAGAGAAAAAATTTATTTAGATTGAAACTAATTTAATTATATTAATATATTTGAAAATTAATTAATAAATTAATGTTCTATAACTCCAAAGAAGTATGCAATGACACAACTACTGCTATGGTGCCTTTAGTTTGAACATTAATGGACAAGGAAGAGGACTTGAAGTCACAAACCCATTTCTAAAAATAGCTATAGTGGAGGAAAATGTGCTTGAAATAATCAGCTAATTTTTCATGAGACTAGAAAGTGGAGGAAAGGGTAGGAGAGGTTTTGAACTGGGTTGTGGTTGCAAGAAATGACTGCTGCACAATGGAAGGAGCTTGTAGTCAAAGCTTGGTTCCAAAAGATAAAATAAGATAGGGGGAAGGGGCTTGTACCTTCCAACAATAATGACTTGATCGGTTGGTCCAATATAGGCCCTCATAAGAATTATCTCTCAAGGCATTGAATTCTTCCCACCCAATGTCAAATGTGGCTCACCTCTCATGCCCAAGATGTACTTGGGAAAGCCCTCTTATCATAGTGTCCCAAAAGGGGCTGTCTCAAATGACCCATGGGTGGCAGAGGGCAAACACATCCCATTTATGTGAGAACGTTCAGATCAAATCATGTTTTATTTGAACATATCAATCAATACAAATTTAATAAATAAAAATTATATCCTTTCTATGATGGATCAATCACTACAATTAAAAGGATAATTTGTTTTGTTTAAACTTCTCCA